ATGTTTTGGCATCTTTTTACCTATAATCCTCTAATTTGATTAGTGAAAAGAGAATTGGGAAATGTCTTGCACTCAACACGACAAAACCATTAGAAAAAAATTATTTGATAGTTTGTAAGTTTGTAAGTTTTGAGTTTTTTTAAGTTCTTCTTGAGTAAATGATTCTCTAGTTAAATTGGATCACTTCTATCATGATTAACTAGGAAAGGCACAAACTCAAGGTGAGCTTTAAATACTTTAAAAGGCTCCTTCCTAGCGAAGAAATGGATAAAGGCGAATGGATAACCCGTTAGGCTTCTGCCCACAGTTCGGGACCTGATGCGGCTTTTTGTTTTTGTTTTTTTTTGGGAGCAACTTCTAGCATTTTGCAGCTAATTGAATTATAAGTAAGGAAAAGCTTTGTTAGCAACTAGTTATTTTCAACAAGCAACCCTGATCTACCCATTCTAACGCATTCAAATTGTTACGGTACCCGTTTCCCCACCCCCATTTCCCCTTGAAATCCATTACGTCACGTGCTTCTCAGTTTCTTACTTTTCTTTTCTCATTCTTTTCTTCACTTAATCTTCTCCGGGTTTGCGCCAAAAAATTTGCATACTCATAAGCATATTCACTCAATAGACAAAGGCCAAAACGGGAAAGGATCGCGGGAATTTGTGCGCGCAACCGTGAACAATGACCCTAGTATGAAAATTGACTTGATGGGCAAAAAAGAAAAGAAATGAGGGGCGATCAGTCAAAATTTCATGGTCGTTTCAAGGAATGAGACAATTCCGCTGTTTGAATGTTTTGGCTTTCAAAATGAGCTCAAGATTCGAGCTAATATTGAACTTTCTTAAAAGTTGAAAGAGTTTACGAAAAACTTATCATAAATTTGCTTAAGAGGCTCAAGAATCTTAAGAATTGAAATCTCAAGAATAATCTCAAGAAGCTTAAGAATTGAAAGCAGTTTTTAAAGTTAGTTTAGACTTGGATTTCCTCAGCCTAAACACAAATCAAACTCACTAGTTGTCTGTCTGTCTGAGCTTGGCTTGGATTCTCGGAATTGGTCAAAATCCTGATCACTAAGCTGATCACATTGCCCATTTACAAATTTAATAAGCTAGCTTTATCTAATGTTCATCCACTCTCTAAACTCATGCCAATGCATGATCTTCCCTTTCATTCAGCTCTCCCACTGTGCTCCCCTTCCCCCTTCCCCTTTCCCTTTCCCGTTTCCAGTCACCCAGTGGGTGATTGTGTCATTTCCTTGTGCAAACAGAATCTTCATCCCTTGATCCTACCCAAATAGGCTAAATACCGTATTTGTCTTTCCTTTTTTCTTCTTTAGAGTTTCCAACGGTTTGAGGCCAAATACCAGCACTTGACAAGTCAAGCGGAAGCCCTTTGATCAAGGAAAAGGTGGAATTGTTTGAAAATGGTATGGGTGATGGCTTCAAAAATAGAACGACTCCCAGGATTGAAGGATTTAACAGAAATGGTAGGGATTTCTTCCAAAAACTTTAGAACAGTACTATTTTTCGTTTCAAGGTACGGCAAAAAGTTCCATGAATATTCAAAAACAAGAGACAAAGTGCATCAAGGTTTTCCAAGACATTTAGCTTTTTAAAGACTAGGTTTCTTAAAATTTTCTATATTTTGCAAATGAAAAGCTTACTCTTTACAACTTAAAAGTTCCATTGAAATTTTGCCAGCTTTTCAAACGATCAAAAGAACATCTGCCGGCTGGAATCATGGGAAAGACAACGAAAATCATGAATGAATCTCTGGAAAAGAAGGAAATTTTGAGCAAATATATGAGAATATGAAAATAAACTTGAAATATAATGATTTTGAGTCAACATATCATGAAAATGAAGCCTTGAAACATTGAGATTTTAAGAGAAAACGAGAAATTTTTCTAATGAAAACTAGAGAAAGCAAGTCCAGCTGTGAACTTAGGGGAAATCGATTGAGTGAGGAGAAAATGAGTTTAGGAAAAATACAACCAAATTTAAGGCAGAAACCACTAAAACTAAATCATCTTGGTTTTACAGTAGCATAAATATGTAGAATTTGTAGCATAAATACTGACAAATTTAGAAGAAAAATTGTTCCCGGAAATTTGGGCATAGCGACGCCAAAAACGGCGAAGCTGGATTAGTGGCTCGTGGTCCCTTGTCCTTTACCTATTACAATAAGGAAGCGTACTCTTATACCAAAGGGATATGCCAGGTCGCGTACGATTAGACGGCCGTACAAAGAACACGTCGCTAGTCAGTCACTTAGGGATTTCTTTTTTGCTTTGTAGATGGCACAAAAAGGAGATTCAGCTATAAATTTGTGCCCGGAGGTTTTCTGGGTCGGGGAATCGATTGGAGCTATTCATTTTTGTTGAATCTACCAATTGGAACTCGGATTTTATTGATCTGGACTTTCAGAGAAACTCAGAAACATTAGCTTATTTTGGAAAGAAGATTCGGACCAAAAACTTCATCAAAAATCATAATATTATCTCTAAACAAGTTATGAATCTTTAAAGCGCGATTACTCATTCAAAAACCGCAGATAATTCTAAAAGTCGAATAAGAGCCGGCCATTATCATTGTCTTCACAACGATTCCCCTCCCATTTCCCTTCTCTTCAGTTGAAACCAAGGATCTCTCGTCAACAGCTTTGTTTCCTTGACATCGTCTCTTCACTCATTCCTCTCAATGACGACAAACAAATGATGCAGAGCTCGTTTACACACTTCAAATAGGATTGTAAGATAAGAACAATCTAAATTCGTATCTGCTCAAAAATCAGATTTTCCAAATTGTAATCACCGAGCTGATTGGTGATTTCACTTCCCTAATTCACAGTAAACAGCAGAAAATGTGCCACGTGAAAAGCATGACCTTTCAAACCAAACCAAAGTCATTCCAAGGCATCAATGGTCACTAAAGATCATCTTTTGTGTAGTCTTCAAGTGAAGCTGATCTTTTCTAAACTTTTGCATCTAGCGCAGTGATCTGTTAGCTATCTGTTTGGTAAAAAGGAAAAAGAGTAAGCCGATTTCATCTGCTAGCCTATAGATTCCATTAGAAGCTCTTTGGGTTACTGTAACGTTTACTAACTGGGATATGGGTTACGGTAGCCGAAGCCAGCTTTAGAAACTTCTTGGCTACTATAACATCACTAACAGGATACGGTAGCCGGGTCGCGCTTTAAGGTTAGGCAATCGAATCAGTATTCGGGAAATTTATGGTCTCAAATTTGAAACAACCAATCCTGCCTTGATTATGGTTGACAAGGGAAGCCAATTGAATAGACTGGCAAAATAGCATAAGCCATAGACGATTCGACGCAGAATTTCACGCTGACAAGGAAACTCTTTGAAGTTACATTTCAGGAGCAACCTGCTTCCGAAGTACAAACATCCTCTGGTTAAGGGCGTCCCAAAACTGCTTTCAAATCCTATTTATCACAAGCCGTTTTCGAGATATAAGTCTTCAAAGTTTCGGTCACTTCCGACAAACAGCAAGCTAGCCTACTTAAGGCCTTGACGCTGAGTCGACTCCGTGCCTTGGTGGCCCAGTGGGTATGTGTTGCACTGTTAGACTCGCATCTGTGTTTTTTACCCTGGTTCGAATCCTCTCGCTGGCAAAACTTTTTTGCTTCTTTACTAAGGTATAAAAAGGCTCATTTATGTTTGTAAAGGCTTTAGGACTAGGTGTTTGCACTTCGGAAACAGATCGCTCCTGAAATGTAACTTCAAAGGGTTTCCCTTTCAGCAAGATTCTGCTTGAGCAAGATAAACGGCACTCTTTCAAAAGTTATAGTCATTTAAAGTTTTGTAGTTTTAGGTTTAAATAGCTTGTATATTGCAAAACCTAAAAAGGAAAACAAAAAATCACTTGACGGATTTGAAAACGGGTGGTCTTGCCTTGTCTGCTAACCCATTACCACTCGGTCACCACCACACCGCTTCCGGTCTGGAAAGCTCACAGTTGTTAGAAGACATCCAGTTGACCATCTCTTTTAAGGCGGGTTTTTTAAGGACTTAAGCTCTGCTTTTTAAAACTCCTAACAAAACTATAAACGCGTATAACTTTTGACAGAGTGCCGTTTAGCACGGAAAGCAGAATCTTGCTCACAGTTGTTAGAAGACATCCAGTTGACCATCTCTTGTGAGTTTGATTCGATTTGTTCCTGATTTTTATATTTTTCTTCAAACTATTCAACTTTGAACTCTGAACACTAAACTCTTTTCTCTGCAAAAATCGTCAGACCCAAATCAGAATCAAAGAACATTCGAAATCCCACAATTTACAACCACTTATGGGGATCTGTTGGCCATAAAATACACACCTTCAAAAGGACTTTCGCCTAGATTTTTTTTCCTTCTCTCAGCTCTACCCCTTGTTAGTGATATCAGACAAAAATCTGGTGTCGGGAGAAAGTGAATCTTTTTTGCCTTCTTTTGCCTTTTTCCCAACCTGATAAGCATTTGGCCCATTTACTCAGTGCTTCCCTCCCTCATTTTTCCCAAAGCCAATAATTCTTAACGAGAAGTGTTTTGAGGGAATGTCTACACTTGTATATTTGTTTATTTTATTGGTATTTTGCGAGAAAACCTGCGTTTACTAAAGCAAAAAGTGTAAACAACTTGGTAACAGATAATTTTTGCCTTGAGTTTTTAAAAGTTTTACATATTGGAACATTTCTAATTGGCTTATTATTGCCGGTCTAACTTTAAACATCAATTTTCCATAAGAGCTACGTTTCTGCTTCATTTATTCTTATTCTTTATCCAAATGATTCTATCAATTGCTTCATCTTTTTCTCAGCTTAGAACTTTTCTCAACTTGTTTCAGGTAATTTAACTTACATGTGAGCATCAAAAGCAACGGCGTCTCTTTCTTCGACTCTTTCTTCTATAATTTGATCGAAGTATATCATTTTTGCATAGTATTGCATAAACTATAAAATCTCTAACGCTTTTTTTAACGTAAAATGTCCAATTCACTATTTCAGGCATGCAATCAGGCGCCTTCGAACCAGACGATCTATTCAAGCGGGGTGGACTCTTCTCTTCGCTTATTGGATTTAAAAAGAAAGCAAATAAAGGTACTGAAATTGAATCATTGAATAAATGAATATCATTCAAAAACGTATTCTCCAGTAAATTTTCGTTCATTGATCTTTTTTGCTTAAGAAAGTAGCCCCATTGACCAAAGGGCATTGGACGCTCACAGGAAAAGATAAGGATTGATTGATCCGGCTCAGTTTAGTTTTCATCATTCTATTTGAAAACAATTTCTATCATTACTAAATATTTTTTTTTGATTTTTCCAGATTATCAATCTTTCCCTTTTCTAGCCCCACCCTCTCGTCAGTCATCGATCGATCAGCCACTTCCAGCTGGCTGTTCGACAAGTCGCGAAGAGCCGAGAGTTTTCCAACCATTACCACAAATCTCACTACAAGTTGCCGAGGAACAGACGCCGATTGTGCAACAAGTCAGTTTTATTATACTAATTTTCATTCTATATCTTGCTGTTGAGTTTACGAGTTTGCAATCAGATTGCCAGTTTACCGATTGGACTTTTATCAATGGCTTTGTGCCGATTGAAAGCCACTTTGTTCTTTCTTTCCATTCTTTTTTGCTTGAATCTTGATCTGAAAGTTTTCCTTTAAAATCTGTGCCAAAAAGAATTAACTCTTGAATCTTTCTTGAAAGTTTTGAAAGTCAACCTCATGTAGTAGATTTTTGTCGGTAAACAACTCTAAAACCATTTCTTTCCCACTTCATGGGCCCGCTAGATCAGCTAGCTAGGTCTCAGAGTCTGACTTAAAACCTGTCAGGGCTTTAGCCTGACTTAGTCAAGGGTTTTCCAACCATTGCCCCAAATTTCACTACAAGTTGCCGAGGAACAGACACCGATTGGGCAATAGGTTAGCCATACGTTGCTTTTTGATCTTACTATTATTAGATTGGTAACTTGAAAGTTGGTACACTTATTCATCGCACTTTTTAAAATAACGAGTGCGCCAATTAATCTACAGTTTTTACCAATAAAAAGGCCCATTTATTCTCTAAAAAAGGCTTTTGACAGATTTAGAAAAGCTCCGGTTTTGTAGGTTTCTAGGGGGCAAGAAGTTGAGGAATCAAAAATGATGAACACTCGATGAAGCAATTTGAGCACTTTCTTCCACGTAAACCTATTTGAGTGTCAAGAAAAAACAGATAGAGCATGAAAAGTTAGGCATGCAGCCGAATTCTTAGCGCGATTTGTCTAATTGCTTTAGTTATCTGTCTGTTTAAAGGATTTTCAAAAAAAACTTGAGCTTCTGCTCAAATTTGTTTCAAAAGTTACCCAAATTTGCTTAAGTATCTTTTAAATTAGATAATATATAACTTTTCGAGAAGTCTAATTCTTATTACGTATTAAATATGTTTTATGGAGAATACGAAACATTGTACCAACATTCAAGTTGCCAATCTAATAGATTGAACCTACTTTAAACCATTATACCGATTGAATCTCATCCTGACAAACCTCCTTGTCTAGAATCTTAAAATTCTCTTGATACAGTTAAAGTGCCAAGAAAGGTTAATTCTTGAGAGCTTTCGTTCTAATATTCGATTTCTATTGTACTATTCAACCTTCTATTTCAGCTGAACAAGTCTAAAACAAAGCTTTCGAGCTTTTTTGAGTTTTTCGATACAGAATTGCAAATTTGCTAACAGTGATTGTCAGGGAAAATCTGCAAAACTTCGAAAAATCCCAGCTAAAGATGTGGGTTTCCATCGGTTTTAAACACAACTTTCCCCAGAATGAGCTTAATAAGTTTATAATCAAAATCTAACTTAAAACTTATCACTGAAACCCGCCAAAAATTCTGAAAAAGTTTAATACTTGCCTGCTAGATAGGTCAATTTAAAAAGCTAATTAATTTTATAAACAAACGTTTTCTAAGAGAATCTTTCTAAAGCAATTTTTCTTTTTTCTTTCCACCCAGTAATTCCTCTAACTGAATTCGTGCCAAATACACAAACAATTTCTGAGATTGACGTGCTCAATTCGTTTTCTGTAAGATTTTAACGACATCTTATCGCACCGCTCAAAGTTCAGCGACAAGGGAAAAGATTTTTTTGAGCTTTTCGAGAAAGTACTGCAAATTTGCCAACAGTGATTGAGGGAATATCTGCAAATTTCAAAAAATTCCAACTAAAAATGTGGTAGAAGACAGAAAATTTGGCTTTCCAGCGGTTTTAAACACAATTTTTGAAAATCCAAAAAATTTCGTGAACTCAAACCTTTGACAAGAGTTTATCTTTCAAAAAAGCCAAAAAACTTCTCGAAAGACTTAGTCATCCTTGAGTAAACCAGTCTCTTTTCCACCTCTCTCAACCAATCCATCTTATTTCTCTTGCATCACTTTACTTCACTCTCGAAAACATTTGACCACATGGGTTTGTTTTGCAATCATTTTTTTGAAAACCTGTTTAAAATCATTTCCTGAAATCCTCATTTCTTTCAGCAACGGCCAAACGAAAGAACTCCGTTCGATATCTATCGAGAGATTGTTTCGGAAGTTGAGCACTTCGAGAGAAGCTCCACGGTTGGTTCTTAGCTTTTACAAGTTAAAACTTACCCAGTACTTTATTGAATTTTATTTTAGCCTTATCTGTTTTGTAAACATTTATCTATTTTTGAACTGTTGAGCCAAAATGAAAGCAACTTGTTTTATTAACAACTAAATTTCACAATTTTGTACTTAGAAAAGGGTCAATTGAAAGTCAGATTCAATAGTTTTAGCTTAACTAGACATAACCAGTCGAACCTGGCTAAATTTTTGACTTTACAAATTGTACATTAAATAGTAGGATAGGCCAGGCAAGTGCCAAGCCAAAAGCCAGATTTGAAGTTGTAAACTATGAGTTGTCCATTGATTTCTAGGACAGACCAGGCAAGGACCAAGCCAAAAGCCAAATTTGGCTATACGGTAGACCCAGTCCACAAAAAGTACCTGGGCATGCCAGCGTGAAGCTGGTTTAACGACCATTCTTACAAAAATTCAACTTTCAGGCCACCCCAATTTCCGAATTCTCGATCCATTCCCCGTCTTCACTTTCTCCTCAACTTCCCCCGCATCTCCCACAAATGGATCCAATGATGGGCTATCATCAACCCCTTCAACAAGAGCAACAATTCTTCCCGACTTGGTCAAACCTTCTCCCGCCAAATCACCCAAATTTGGACTATCAATCGATGACAATGCAGAAATATCAACAATGTCCATTCATGCAACAGGTGAGGGAATCTTAGGAATACGGCAATCGAAGCTAACGTAAAATTTGAGTGATATACCTTTTACCGCAAGATCCTTAAAACTTTGGAGCTGAAAGGTTTCCCCTTTTTAATCACACTACACAAGTTAACCATTGACACTTGAAAGCTCAGCTCTTTTAACAAACATAAACTCATCAACTTATTTATCAACAAAGAAATATTTCTCAATTCTTTAGGTGAGCTCTTTGGATGCTCCGCCAGCCTATCCGGGAATGGTGCCACAGTTCTCGCAAATGTCCCCCGAAACATCAAAGATGTCGATAATCCCCCCATCACCGTTTCCCTATTTCCCACCACCACTTCAACAATATCCGCTTCTTGATGTGAAAGATGAACCACTTGAGGCAAAGGTTTGAAATATTATTTAAATATTAATATTTCTAAATCTAGTTACTCAATGCTCTCCAGACGCAGGCCCCCATAGAAGAATTTGTAAAACTAATTGTAAGGGCTGTGAAGAATGAGGAAGCACAACCGCTAGACGAAAGCCCGGAAGTGATCTTGCAAAGGAAAAGACAGCAGGTAACAAAAAAGTTTGGTTGGAATCTGTGCAAAAAATGCTTTGTCAAACTTTTCTACAAGTTTTGATTTCAACAATAGTTCTCCAGAAGCCAGGCTTGAGCTTATCTTCTGTCCTGGTTTGGCCTGACTTACCCGCTCAAGGATATCTGCACTAGTGGACCAGTTTTGAATCAAAACAAATTTCAGAACAATGCAGCCGCAGCCCGATATCGAAAACGGCAACGTGAAGCGAAACAAAACGCCGGTGATGAGCTGCAAGACCTTTTGGATCGAAATCAAGAATTGAAAGGAACAGTCGATAGGATGCAGCTGGAGATCGAATTGTTGAAGAGAGCCGTGTTATCGGGTAGATCGGAATGAATGTATGGCTTGATGTTTATTCTTTTTTTTTTGCTTTATTTCTTGCATGTACTGGTACAAAGTCTTAGTTATCTTTTTTTTGTTTGGATTTTAGGTTTTAATTTTCATTTTGCTAGCTCACAAATCAGGGTACTCCTTTTTTTCTATGATGCATGGTTTCTGTAAAAAGTTTTTGGATAAATGAATTGAATGAAGTGATTGACTTGGTTTAAATGCACCTCACAGCTAATACGTTAGTTTTTAGCTTTGAAAGTTGGAAAGCACTCCACTTAGATTAGATATTAAACAAGCATGAAGCGTTTGATAATATTGTAAAGATCATGTCTAATAAAGTAAAGTAAGGAATGGCAAAGAAAGGGGATTGAACCTTCGCCTTTTTGCTTTTTGAGCCTTTAATAACTGAGCTATCCGGTATTTCGTTATTTCGTTACTTTTCAAGACTAAGTTAGTATTAAAAGTATTAGCTGAATTCTTTAGTTAGTTGGATTTCTTTCAAACTCCTAAAGTAACAGTATCTTTAAGGTAAACAAGTTGAAATCGTCAGTGCTATGCAAAAAGTAGCTCCAAAAATAGATTTACTTACAGCCACCCGTAAAAAGGAGCAAACTGGAGACAAAGAGGAAAACGATGAACGAAAAGAATATGATCAGCTTGATGAAAGAAGAAAACAAGTACGTTCAAGATCAAAGTTTAAGATCAAAGCTCAAGACCATTCAAAGTTAGCATGAAATAGTTAAAAGACATACCGTAAATACTGTAATATTACCCCACCCCCATAATGACGGTGCGGAGCGTTGCGTAGTCTAGCTTTGGACGCATTTTCGACACTGGTTTATGCTACAATGCGCGCTTAGGTATCAAAAAATAGCTGAAATTCAGGGCTATTTTTTGATACCAAAGACGCATTTTTTAAAATTACGGGTGCTTTGCAAAAAATGAAATACTAAAAAACTTTTGCGACTACGCGACTGTACGAGGCGGTGGAGTACTATTACAGTATTTACGGTAGTTATCTCATGTTAAAAAGCAATATTTAACTTGATATTGTAAATTTTCAAGCAATATTTAACTTTTAGAACAAAGCCGCCTCAGCAAGGTATCGTCGCCGAAAGGCTGAGAGTTCCAAAGAGGCTAGAAACAAGTTGAAAAGGCTAATGACCGAAAAGCAGAAATTAAAAGAGAATGTTGACTTGTTACATTCAGAGATTGGTATTTTGAGACAAAATCTCAAAGAGATTTGATTTGAAACCGATTTTGACTAGAAATTCTCATAGTTTTCAGTTTTTGCACAAGTTTTTCGCTGAATTTTGATTGAAAAGTCAACTCAAGAGATCGTAAGACCTTTGCATTTTCTTGTCATTTTAAAAGGCTTGGCTCAATAAATCTTGCCATTTACGCAAAAAAATGTGCCAATGATGAAATTTCTTCAAACTTTCGTCACCTTTTTCTCACCGGTCACTCAAAATCTCCAATTTCCAGCTGTCTGTTAAAATTTGCCTTATCATTTTCATTTTTTTTCGCATTTTTTCTCAGCTTTCCCGTACCACCTCATAAATTTTATTTACAACAGGTCACCGGGAAAACTTTACGATGGGACAGATTTCGTTGAAAGTCGATTGAATAAATCAGAAAATGGGGGCGAAGAAATATTGGATTGGGGAATATGAAATGGCAATAAACTTTTGAAAAAAACTAAACCATAACTTTTTCTAATAAGAATTGAAGTTTTGTTGATTATAAGCCAAAATTTCAGACCGATCTGATGCACAGTTTTTAAGAAATGGGGGATGAATGTGCCAAAAGTCGATTTTTGACTACCACTTAACGTAACGATGTTTGTAACACAAAAAAACTCGACTAGCATCCAGTTAAAACAGTTATTTTGTTAGTTAATAAATCAAGTTCAATAATAAAAATTAAAGATCGAAAAAGATGTGTCTGAGACTTGGGAATAGTATCCTCAAAAATACCTCATGTATTCTCTCTCATTCCTCAAGAACTGTGCATCAGATTGGGCTCAAGTTTTGGCATATAATCTAAAAAACTTCAATTGTTATTAGAAAAAATTTTGAGAAAAATTTATGATTTAGTTTTTTTCAAAAGTTCGTTCGAAGACGCCTCCAGACTTCTCAACCAAATACAGAGTGGCGCACAATTACCCGCACCGCGCACTCAGTTTCTTTTGCATGTATTTTCTCAAATTTCAAAGCAATCTTCAATATATTTTTTTTTAATAGAACATTACATTCTAAAAAATAATTTTAAAAGTTGAAAATCAGACTTAAGAAGACGTGAAAAACAGGTGCCCAATTTTACACTTTCCAGACTTTCCTTAGGCCCGAGTACCCCTTTAACGCAATCGAATAGTATGTCACTCGGACTTTTGTGGGCATTAGACACGTATAATAACTCAGTCCGGTCTAGTCTAGCCAGTCTAACTCTAGACATGTATGTGACTAGCAGCTCAGTTTGGTTCAGCTGTTTAGTTGAGTGGACTGACTTGACTAGACTGAGAAAGCGGTGGGGCTAAACACAGACCAATTTGGTATATATTTATTATATGTGAAACACTTTATTCCCCGCCCATCCAGCAGGAAAAAGTCGCCGTTAGGCGATTTTTCCGGCTGGATGGTCGGGGATGCGGGGATCACATTTGTACGGTCAGCTTCAGATTTGACTTTGAACATTAGCTTGATTAGCAAGCAGGCTTTAACTTTTGATTAGTAAACAAGCAAAAAAAAGTCAAATTTCGTAAAAGCAACAATTTTTCCGGCTTTGTAGATTTTCTTTCGCAACGGAAACGCCCAGGGAGTCAAAAAGGCAAAGAGAGCTGACTTAGCATTGCGATCGCAAAAATATTGTTTAAAAAATCTTTTGAGAACCTTTTTTAATCTGCAACTTTAACTTAGCAAATAAGCTGGTTTGATAAAAACATTTATTAACCAGATCTTCTATTCGAAACCCTAACATTGTTGATTCCATTTGTGATGGATTGTCGAAAAGGTTTCTCGATCATTTTTAGCCCAGCTTCGGTGAGATGACAAGTGTTATCGAAATAGACCAATTGCGTGTTTGGATCATAAACCAATGCACGATTTTGTTTGAAATCTGAAAAAGATTCCTATCAGTTGATAGAAATTTGCGACAAACCAATAAACGGCTCAGCAATATCAATTGGATAACATTTTGGGCACTTCTCGAAAATGATCCTCAATCGTTTATACACCGGACTATTGTAAAATTCGACGATCTGACGATTTGTTTTTATTTAACTTCTAAAATTACTCACATCTATGTGCCGATTGAACTTTGACAAGTCTCTGCTGTTCTGCAATGCGTCGAGGAAACGATTGAGGAGAGATTGATCATTTCCGTGACACTCAAATGGTTGATGCGTCTGGATGAAGATTTTTTTCGTGAACAAACTGAAAACAGAGGTGGCAACTAGGCATGAGAAAATTCCAACCCGAACCTATATCCACCTTCGTTTTCTTGGCCATCCCTTGGCCGATTGCTCTGAAACGGCAGAGAAAACGAAGGTGGAATTTGATTCGGCTTGGAATTTCCCGATGTCTAGTGGCAACAGGATTGGTGTCAATATCAATCTCAGTGTACTGTAGCGTCAGTACTACAAAGTGACAATAAATAACGAAAAAGAACTTTTTTATAAGTGCATGGATCTTGAAATTCGAATTCAAAATCTCACCTGATATTGCTAATTCCTTTCCAATACTCATCGAGAACCAGGTCATTCGGTCCTTGAAATGGACTCAAATCACGGCGTTCCACCGGATCCCCCGCAGCTGACACAAATCTGGAAACATAGGTCTAACTAGTCAGCTTTCAATACCACCTCGCAAGCAGAAACACATAATCTGGCTGTAGTTTCTCCAGAAAATCCATGAAAAATGGGATTTGTTCTAAAGTTTTTAATCAAACCACAAAATTACTATTAAAATTCGATCCTTCTTAATATTTCTTGCAAAACTTTATCAATAAAGAACAAATTTTGCACCTTGTACTTCTTTCTGGAAGCCATGAAGTCCGAAAGTGTAAGCAACGTAGGGGAAAAGATGCATTTCAGCGACTTCTTCTCTTGTGAAATACTCCCGGACCAGCTAAAGGTTTTTTTTATTACTTGATGTGTGTTTTTTTGCACTCACATGAGCCTCTTGTGCAGCCCACGAATTGCCAATAATCGCAATCTTCAAATGACCTTTGTTTCCCTAAAAGGTGTCCTTGTTCCGTAGAAAATCGGATAAAATTTTCACTGCGTTATCAATACGACAAGTCAAATTTCAATGCAAGACAGCCACATTATAAGCAATACAAACAAACATCGTAAACATAGTGTCCAAATGGGGGTTTCGGTTGTTTCATGAAGCCGTCCGCCACAAAATGTCCGCCCTCGATTTTGTAGGTTGAGTTGAGGAAGCGCTGATTCTCGGTGATCGCCGAGTTTCGCACTGAAAATTTGATTCTTTGCTAGGCTTATTTAGAGTCACTACAACACTCATGTGTTCAATTATTCCGTATACCGTATTCTCGCTAATAATATTGCACCCTGAGCGTCACCTAAATTACTCGAAATCTCAAACACCGCTTATCAGAACCTATCGATGTGGAGTCGGAAAATGTAGCTGACGATGAGATCTTGTGGGTGGGGGGGGAGGGGGGGTTAGAGTTCCAAGTTCCAAGTAATAGTCACCAACTCAGCTTGGCTGGGGGCAATACTATTAAGGAGAATACGGTAATCTTGGTCTATTGTACTGACTACAGGGTGCACCATAATTGTCGCAACAAGGCATCACGCGCGTTCAAGAACAAGGACTCGTTGTTTTAAGCTTCATTTCTGGTTTTTTTTTGGTTTTTTTTATATTTGGAATATAGTTGAAACTTTTTCATATAAAATGTGTTGTTTTTTAGAATGGCTGGAAAATCTCCCATCGACAATCGATCATCTAATTGCACAAGTGAGGAATCTCGGCGCCGGAGATTCATAGAGCAGCTTAAAGTCGACAGAAGTGTCATTTTCGCACTATTCAACGTTACGAAGCTTGGGAACAATTGCTGATGCATCAAGAAGCGGTAGACGCCCAACTGTCTTTGCAAAGACAAGCATCAAGCGAGCGAGGGACCGAATTCGGAAGAAGCCAAACCAGTCGGCGAGGCAAATGGCAAAGAAGATGGCGATTTCAAGCACCTCATTGCATCGAATCCTCAAAAATAAGCTCAAACTTACTGCTTACATGAAAAACAAGGCTCAACTTCTTGAAAATGCCGCTAAAAACAAGGGAAAATTGGGAGCAGATGCAGAGTTCTGCCAAAACAACTTCCCCGACCTGATTTCTTTTTCTGAGTGGTCACTAGCTCTCCAGCCCTTAACCCAATGGATTTTTCAGTGTAGTCGGTTCTAGAAGCCAAAGCTTGTTCAAAGCCCCACAAAAACATTGAAAGCTTGAAGAAATCACTGTTGAAAGCGTGCAAAGAGCCTATTTGAATTCGATCCAGCCTATCTGGTCGCCAACGTTGACGCCTTCCCGAAACGCCTGCAAGCCTTTTTAAATGCTAATAGTGGCCGATTCGAATTTGATAGTTCATTTATAATTGTTAATGTACAATAAATGTTATTCAGTTAAAAATTTGTCTTCTTTGCTCTTGTCTGCCTTAAAATCAAAACTTTATCTTGTTTCGCCAATTATGGCGCAGCATGTACAGTACTTTTTATGATCGTAGTATTCATGCAACTTTTGAAATTCACAAACCACAATCCGGCCTCACCACCATCTCCCATTTCCATCCGATCAACAAACATAATGCAAAATATTTGAGAGTAACAATCAAAATATCGAATTTCCTCGCTCTAAGCATGGGTTTCTCGTAGAAATGATGGAAAAGAATACTGATGAGAAAAGTGATTAGCAGAGAAATCAAGGAAACTAAAATTTACCAATTCGCTTAGTTTTAGATTTTCTTACCGTAAATCTCTTGATCATAATATTGCTGAAAATATTGAAGAAAGCGAAGAACAGGGAAATGAACCAAGTACAGCGCGTAGGAGATGGTTGAAATGTAGTTGAGGTTGAAACGGGACCAGGAAATTGTACTGAACTCGATGCTTTAAATGCTTTTTGTGTACCTTGTGCTCTCAGTACCATAAAGGGTGGCTGAAAAGTTCTGTTCACATTACAAAAATTAACGTTACAGTAAGAAACTATGAAGAATACACAAAATGGACCCCAAATTTAGAAAATTCGAATTTTTTTTTGCTCCATATACAGGGTGGTCCATAAAAAAAGTGGCCCACTTTGCATGCTTGAAATTTTTTTTGCGCTGAGCTTTGATGGCACATCGTGGTGTCTGAATTGGTTTTGCCTCAGGGGCTACACATTGGCACAAAGTTGGTGTTTTTGAAAATGATTCAGGGTGAAATAAAGAAGGTGAATTAAGAAGTCCCATTACATGTATCTCAATTCTGTCCAATCCAAATTCCAACCACGATTTACGGTGATTTTGGGCCTTCGACCATCGCATGACCTTATTCATGAAATTTTCAAAAACACCAACTTTGTGTCAATGTGTAGCCCCTGAGGCAAAACCAATTCTGACACCACGATGTGCCATCAAAACTCAGCGCAGCCGTTTCCGTTTGGGCTGCCGTTAGCATTGCCATTACTGATTTTACTGATCTATCAAAACTTTCGAATTCCTACAAAAGACCCGTATTTTACCCAAGAGCCGAAGTTTTTATACCTTTTACAAGTTTTTTACATATCAATGGGGACCGAACTTTTAGCCACCAAGAAAGTCTTTTCGCTCTACTCAAATTTTTCAACCAAAGCAGCTACCAAATTTTTGTATGGTTAAAATTGAAGAACAATATCTTAAATTAAAAACAGTGGCATAACATTTTATTTTGGCAAGTTTTGATGGAAGAAATGAGCTTCAGTACCGCGTCAGATTTGATGTTTTCCGAGTTCACGTTCTTGTGAACGTTCTTCAATTTATCAGAACACCATGCATTTCTTCAAAATTTCAAGTGAATTTTTATGATTATGCCCACTGTATTTTGTAAACAATTTCAAGTCGTCTAAAGGCCTTTTATTTCTTTTCGAATCAGCTTTTGATTCAAAATACTCACAAAAGTTATCTTTCCTTGAAATAAATTTTTCTACTTTATTACCTTGAATAAAAAGCCGTTTATTACATAACTTTTTATTAGAAAAAAAGTCATAAAAGACCGTTTTGATAGCTGGTGGTTCAGTTTAGAGATTCTGAAAAATCGCGAAAAGACTTCTTTGCCAACCTAATACAACTCTGGCACACTTAGCGTAGCAAGCTGGCATGTACAGTGTCAGCTTACTACACTTAAAAATTTCCATCAAACATTTCTATCTGATCTACTCACCAATTCGTGGAGAAAATGATGAATCCAGTGGACGAAATAGTAATCACAATTTGAAATAGACTTGGTGGAGTGATTTTGGAGAAAAATGGGAGAAAAATTGATAAAGTGATGATGAGTGAGATGATCGAGAGAAGAGTGGAATGGAATTGAGTGAATGCTGAAAGTCTGTCTGTATTTGATGACACAGTACTAAAAGCACAGCACTTTTTGAGGTATTTGAATACCTTCACTGTATTTATCTCCAGCCTAATGACATAAAGGTATTCAGTTAAGGAGTATGATTCATTTAAATCGCTCACTTGTTCTATTCTTCATCGTAAACAATGAAGCAAGTCCTCCACAGAGAAACTCCCAAATTCTCCCAAATGGATGATAGAATGAAATGATTGGCGTTGAGTTGAATTGAAAGTACAAAGAGATGAAAAGACAACAAAGGAGAATCATTTCACCAATTCTCAAATCTAAACGAATCCAAAGTTGAAAACTGAAAAAAAAACTCACCAGGCTTTATCCTTGAAATATAGTAAAGAACTGGGGCAATGAGGTAGAATTGCATTTCGACACCGAGAGACCACGTGTGAAGAAAAGGTAGTTTTTCCGTGTTCTGAACTGTTCACTTGTCTCAAAACTCGAAAATCCTATTTTCATTGTGAAAAGCTATCATATGCAAAACCCAAAGCCAATTCTATTCTCTTGGGACTTTTCTTGGGACAAATGATTAAAATAAACTCTACAATAGGTTCTTTACAACTCAATCTTGAAAACCCACAAATTTCTAACACTAAATCTCATTTGGGAGCCATTTATAGAACAAAAGAAGAATCCCTAGGTGAATGGAGGTGGCTGCGTAATCCCTCGTTGTCTGGCATACCTATCTGGTATAACACGCTTCCGTTTTCGGTGAGCGACGGAGCCAATTTTGCCGTTTTTGGTGCCACTATGCCCAATCTTTGGGATCAATTTTTGCCTTAAATTTAACTGTATTCTTGAACATTTCTTAGCGACACAGTGAACATCAAAACCCGCTTTCTGAGTCTTAATTGGTTAAACAGTAGCTAAACTGAGAGAACAATGCGATCCAATGCGATAAGACATCAAATTTTTAAACTTGTTATTGCGTTATATTGACTCTTTTTAAAGTGTGTATTAATAAATTGTTCATAAAAACCTTTATATTGCTAAAAAAACATTCTAATCTTGTTTGCAAAAAAAAAGCAAAAATTTAGGTCGCAAGAGGATTCGAACCTGCGCTGAAACGTTTCGGAGGCGAGCACACTAACCGCTAGGCCGTCCGGTCATTTCTGGGAGCCGAGGGAAGGGTTATAACACCGAGTTACCGAGAATTTTTCGCGCTGCCAATTTTCAAACGTGTTTTTACACGGGTTAGCGTTGATTTTGAAACTGGACTTTGCTCAAAATTTTGCGTAGAATCCGGTGCACTAGGTCTCGTAGCTTAACTCGATACTAAGTTGAAACAGTTTTCTATTGAGACACTAAAGGTAGAAACTTGACCCGAAAAGCTGACTCGCCAAAACCCGATAAAATCACATCGACGGTAAATTATTGATAAACTGATTAACTTTAATGATTCCTACATGAAAATTTATCAAAAATTATCTTACTAAATCCTCTTTAGGTTTCAAATAAGTCGCATTTTAAATGATGTTACCTCAGAAAAATAGTCCCCCTCTGCTTTGAGCAACTCGAGATTCGAATAGAAAAAGACGGCTGCAAAATAGAAACGAAAATACTGTTTAGCCCAAACTGATGAGTAGACGAACATGATTGAAAAACCTGAAATTTCCAATATTTTTACAATTTTTCTTTTCAAACCTATTAAAAACATAATCAAATAATATAGCGGAACAATTCGTTTCACTCGTCGATAGTAAAACGAAAGAAAAACACGATCAAATCGATTACTTGCCGATTCTAGAATTCGAAACATCAAGAACCCGGATAGTACGAAAAATCTGAAATATTTGATGGTAACTTCTCGATTTTCTACTCACATATCAACTCCAATAAATCCCAATGGGAAAATAGAAGGCCAATGATGATACGCGAGAACGGCTAAAATTGCAAAAGCACGAAGAAGGGCCACATCTTCGCGAAATTCGCTCGCTAAAATATTCTCTGGTTGATTGACTGATTCATTCTATAGAAATTTACGAATAATGGCAAAAAGTGTGCCAGAACTTTTCCGATTGTCAAAAACGTTTCGGTCAGCCAAGACTACGATTATCGGACATTTGACACGCGCCCCGCCCCTTTTGCCATTGACAATCTAGCTTTGAGCCCAAATATCTTGGTGTTGGGTTGTCCAATTTAAAGATTCTTGATATTATTAGATGCGCCAAGCCTTTCTCTGTCGATTAGTACAAAAACTATTTCAATTGGACAGCCCAACACCAAGATATTTAAGCTCAAATTTAGATTGCCAATGGCAAAAGGGGCGAGGCGCGTATCAAATGTCCAAAAAAAGGTTAGCGGATCAGTTTGGATTAGCCTTGCTTGTGATTGACTGTGTAGACTCGTTGACCCTATCAGCCGCTAAACAATTGTACAAGAATTTCAAGTACAAGAATTTTCATTGCCTGGTGCGAGTCACTTTCTAGCGTAATGAAAAAATGTTCGAAATACTTGGAACTTTTGAAAAACTCTGTTTCAACATTGAAATAAGTTTTAGACATGGATTGATTACCTTTATGATGCAAATTACGTTCGAAAATCTAAACACTGACGATCTGGAGATTCTCTAGGAATCCAGGAATCAATTTGTAGACTGACCGATTAATACGCTTGATTAAATGCAAAGGTTTTCAAAAATTTATAGAGTACAAGCCATAAACTAGTTTTTTTTAAACATTGTCACAAAATGACAACGAAACTGAAAATATTTTCGTTTTACTTTTTAATTTTGATCTTTTCTCTCACCTCCGGCTGATATTTGGTGCAATTTCTTGTCATCGTTCAATTCTTTTCCACTTTGCTCCTCCAAAAGACGATATTCTCGATTTAATTTCATGACCAACTTGAAGAAAAATTAGTTTTTAGCTGATTGATCAAAATATTGAGACGAACATTCGAAAAAGTTCTGGTTTTTTGCTGAATTCTAGAATTTTTGGTACCCGCAAAGATCAATCAATCGAAAATTCCTTATCTTTGCTCTTTTTCGTGCTTTTTCCTATTGTTTAATTGGTGAAGCAAGCAGCCCAAAGATACAATTCAAACAAAAAATAAAGACTTGACTTGAAAACTAAATTTGGCTCTTTTGCCAACCCTGGAGAAATTTAGTAGATTGATCTCTGCATTTTCTTGGGTCCACGCACCGAGCACGCAGAATAATATTTCTTTACACTTACCTGTTTGGGCTTGAGAAGCGGCGAGGATGTTCTCGAAGACGTCCCTCACTTGAAGGATCTGTCCGCCTAGCTTGGCTTTGAGCTTGGCCGTTGGGTAGATAGTGTCTGAAAGGGAAAAAATCGTTCAAAACATAGACGTTCATAAAAGCTCACGTTGCAACAACGCGTTGTTCATTCGACTGATATTGCTTACAATTTTTAGTTTGATCATCCTCTTCATTCCATTTTGGATTACTGGACTGCGTCGATCAAGATGTGCCTAGCCTTTTGTTATTTGAACTTTTACAACAGCTAATTGCCATAACTTGCCCAAATAATCGTTCACTTATAAAAGATTAGACAGTTGAATATAGTATAAAAAGAAACAAGAAAATTTCTGTGCACAAACCAGCATCAATCGGGTAGAAACACTCGGCCTGATCACCGGACTCGAATTCTGTGGGCAATCCCCCAGCAACGGCTAGGATGGCAAAGAGGAACAGCACGAATTTAGCCATTGTTTGTTGCGGCCTTCAACCGACTTTCCTTGGAGGTGAATTCGTTTTTAAATCCAACTTTTTTGTTGTTTGGTTGGTGATAAGAAAGGGTAAAAGCCCTGGAAGCTAACCGAGCCAAAATGCTCGCTTTATCTCGTTTCCTGAATTGTGAATTTGTGATAAACCATTTATCATTTGAATGGTGCTTTTTGAAGGGAAGTAATTTGAAGGGTCATATACTGCGGCGGCGCCGTTTTTCCAAAAAGTCCCCAAACTTCAAAAGCGTTTTTCTCGAAAATTTTGTATTGGTTCAATAAAATTGAAAAACACGTGTCTCTTAAAATTTTGAGACAACGTTTTCAACGTTTGAGACAACGATAATTTTAAGAAAAATTTCCTAGTAAGGATTGCTTTCGTATGTTGTGAACTCTATAAAATGTAAAGTCCGATTCAATCACCTCAATTTATTCACAGACATTTTTTGAGATCACATAAACAATATATGCAATTTATTCAATTTATCAATTTACAATTTCAATTTACAACTTGACAACACAATCACTTAAAATTGGCTCTCGATCTTGCTGTTTCCTCCCCATCTTCACCAAAACGCTTCATCTCTTCAAAGTAAGCAGCCCATTGTCGCAAAATGGTGAGCGCCAAATCGTTCCTCCGCTCCAAACAGTCATCAATGTTCATCGAATGTGGCGCAGGCATTTTCATTGAAGCTCCTCGCCATTCACATCCATCCGTCCACTTCCAATCCCTCAGCAACACCAGGTTGACTGTGTATCGAATCTCGATGCCATCAATGTGAAGTGACGTCAAATTGTTCGCCCACCATTGCCCGTCTTTTCGATACAGAAACGGGTTTGGCTCGTTAACGTCGAGCGGCTCGTAGAGTTCGCCGAGATCCCGGAAATACTGGCCATCATTTCCCTCGGTGACCACAATGAGCACTTGATATTGAAAAGAGGAATTATTTGTCGTCCTGTTTGCTTTTGGGCGAGCAATAGGATTTTTTTGATACCATAATTGGCAGCTCTCAAAATAATGCAACGGAATGGTGACCCGATGATAAGCGACCGGGATTCCGCCTAGTGGATATGGACTTATATCGCCGAGTCCTTTGCGAAATAGAGTTGTCGAGAAGAAAAGGCCCGGACATCCGGTGAGGGGACCGTCATGTAGTTTACAGTAAACCACTTGCCATTTGAGACGTGAGATTGCCGGCGGCGCGCTTCCCCAATGCGTGACCTAAAAACTCGTTCTTTTCCTCAGCCTTTCAGTTTTTATTTTTCACCATACTTAGCCCAAATAGGGACAGATAGATCATTTGTTTACACCCAAAGGGTCAAAAGCTCTAGATTGTATTGGGTTGTGGAGAACAGAACCACGCCGAAAATTAAAGAAATCTGTAAAACTTCTATTCGACTTCGTCAAACGATACGCTTTTGATATCAGTAGAAAGGTTAACTAATTCTCTACAAAATGACATTTAAAAGAGAACTCAAACAGCGCCTCTGCTCACCAAAGGCGATTTTTTCACAAAATCTTTAAACTGTCTCCTAGAGAAAAGGATTGGAAGGATTTTGCTGAAAATTTCGCAACTTATGTAATTGAGTGTGCTCTAGCTTTTTATGTAGACACCAAAGGACGTTTATGTGGAAGAAACTGTGCAAACGATGAGTCGGACTAGTGCCATTTTGACTAGCCTTGCTTGGGAGTCCATAAACTCCACAAAAGAAAAGCTTTGTGGAATCCTCAAAAGTCATTTTGTAGAGAAATAGTGGATCCATTTCTCTGTAAAGAAAAAGATTTATTTCTACGTATCAATGCCAATAAGGCCACAATCAACTAATGTTAATCTTACGAACCACCAAAATCTATTCAACTCTGCATGTAAAGTCTTTTGGGAATCATCGGCTTTTTTCCTTAGAACCCACCCAATTTTTCGTGACCCTATGCGCGGTCTTGGTTCTCGCCATCAGTACACTGTGATCGTTTGCCTCTCGACGCCAGTCATAAGAAGCGTTCAGCCAATGCCGCAGATCCAAAGTTGAGTCTGAAACTTTGGGCATTGAAATAAACAGGCGCATGTATTCTGAATGAACACTTCTGAACAGAATTGCGAATTCCTGGCCTAATTTTAGCATCTCTCAAAAAGTTCAATGTAGAAGACTACATAAAAACGAAAAAATGGGCCATTTTTTCTTAAGCTTTTGCGAGGCGGACCTGAATCTTTGGGTTAGGCAAAGCCCTGCTTATGAATCCTAATTTTGACGTTTTAATAAGCTAAAAAGTTGTAGCCGTAAGCCCCCTACCTGGATGAGGGAATCTTTCCAATAAAAATCGAAGATGATAAGCCCATTGCTTCAGCAAAGCATCTCTGAGTCGTTGTCGAGCGCTTTCGTTAAGGACGATCTCTCGCAAATCCCAGGCGAATCCGGGTGGCTGTAAATCTTCGAGAAAAGCCACGTTGATCGAGTATTTAAACTTTCTAACGAAAAAATTCGTCCAACAACCCGATGGCATTAAACAGAGAAAAGGATTATTGTAGAGGTCAAGTTGTAGAAAGTGATTTGAGAGCCTTTCAAAAACGAGCCTTTGCTCGACGTTCGTCGTGATGATCAACTTGACGCGATACGTTTGAAAGCTCATTCTCGGGTGTCGATAATAGAATATGGAGAGTTTCGATCGTTGGTCGATGAGCAAACTCGAGAAATTCATGATCACTCGACATGGATTGTTGTTGGAGTAAGGGCCACTTTCGCCTTCCAATGCGATCCACAAAGCCGGCATTCCGATGAGATCACTGACGCCTTCCGTCTCGTCGGTCGGACTCCAACTCAACGTTTTTGGTTTGTCCGTCTGAAAATTTGTCATTTGCATACCTTTTGAATTAGGTATTCAAGGCTTCTGCTTTTTCTCCAAATACTGAATGCTTTTCTCGACTTGTACACGAAAAATTCCTCTTAAGTCCCACAAGTAACTTTGTCATTATCTAGTTAGTTTCGTTTCAAATGCCAGTCAAATGCAAATAGCAACTCTTACAACTTTTTTTTCCTTAGCTTTGATTTAATTTGGTTTGATAATTTGATCTTTGATTAGAAGATCTTACTACTAATTAACTTATAAAGCAATTTGTAAATAAATAATAGAACTTTCTAATAAATAAAATCATAAATCGATTGGTTCATTATCTATTTCAAAAAGTAACCTTTAAAAAAGCGGACAAGAATTTCCGGTTAAACCTGATAGATGACCGCAAAGTATAGCGACAACTATTTGGAAAAGTATCTGGGAAATGTCTAATTTATTTCAAAAGTGGCAAGTTTTATATAGAAAATTGTGACCCTTAATCTTGACTACATTTATCTACCAAAAACTTTCCGATTCGTCTTATACAACTCATTTAACCAGCGTTTGAATGAGCGCTAGTCGATATCTCTTCGGAGAATCTGCCATTTGGCCGCTTTTTTCTATTAAATTATTTGCTTTTCAATATTTTTTAATGCAAAAATAGCGTTTAAAATTACTTAATCACGTTAAGAATCACACTTAACGGTTTTGGCTGAACTGGCATAACCAAGATTTAAGGGCATGGAAAAAGGTGAAAATTGAGTCTTTTCGATATTCATTTTATATGCGTATCTTGTTATATCAGCTGTTCTGGCGCTATAAATATGTTCACCACCATTTTTACGACAAAATTACCACAAATTTGACTGAAATCGTGAAAAATGACAAATCCGCCGGAGAGATGTCGACTAGCGCTCAGTCAAACGCTTATTAAATGGGTTGTATAAGACGAATCGGGAAGTTTTTAGTAGATAAATGTAGTCAAGGTTAAGGGCCACAATTCTCTATATAAAACTTGCCACTTTTGAAATAAATTAGACATTTCCCAGATACTTTTCCAAATAGTTGTCGTTATACTTTGCGGTCATCTATCAGGTTTAACCAGAAAGTCTTGTCCGGTTTTTTAATAGGTTACTTTTTGAAATAAATAATGAACCAATCGATTTATGATTTTATTTATTAGAAAGTTCTATTATTTATTTACAAATTCTCTATAAGAAATTCTGAAAAGCTCGCGTTAATTGATTTTTTTAAAGGTATGAAGTCGAGGAGTCAAAAACGATGAAGCTCAAAGTTCCGATTTGAGCACTTTTTGTCACAGAAACCTATTTTGGTGTCAAAAGACAAAAGTTAGAAAATGAAAAGTTAGGCAAATAGCCAAATTTTCATAACATTTCACCAAGCAGTTTTCATTCTATGTCCATTGTAAGGATTTTAGGAAAAACAAGAATTCCCGGTGAGATTTGCTTCAGAGCGGACTTAAATTTGCCTAAAAATGAGCTAAATGTCGTAGTTAATTTTTTTTATGTAAAGCAAAGCACACGTTTTTTGGCTAATTATTCATTTATAAACGAAAATTTCAAAAAGGCGGACAAGACTTTCCTAGTATACCAATATTTGCAATTTAAGCATTTTTCGTGAGATTAGCGGCTACACTTAGCTACAAAGGACTCCGAGTGGCACATCAATAGCCTTTACGCTATGCTAAAGACCACTTAAAAGCTGTGAAAGTTTAGAATCGACTATAGATACAGATTTTATCTGTTTTTAAGTCTACCTTACATTTGATGGCTGAATGAAAGCGGTGACGATTTCCATTCGACCATCCGTCCATTGGCGAATGCGATTTCTCGTCTTAAAGTCTTCCATTTCGTCGTACAAATCCCGCATTTTTTTGAATAAATAGTAAAAAGTAGGATAAATAAATGGTTGAACAAATAAATTGATAGTTTTGAAAACGATAAGTAAGAACACTTTTGCAAAGAAGCACAAAGTATTTGAAAGGTGAAGGGATTGCTGTCTAAAAGGCGCGCTTTTCTAGTCTTTTCCCGTCAAAGTCTCTTCACTCGCAACGAGAGAATTTGGCAAAACAAAAACACCCGAAAGATAGGAGGAGAAATGCAAATCGAGACAAAATATTAGGTCTTTGAACAATCAATTTAAAAAGCTATTTAGAAATTAGGTATATTTGTTATAAACGTCGTTAAAAGTTGTGAAATGTTGTATGAAACCATCATCAGCATAGTCAAAAGCCCCTGGCTGCAAAAATCAGCTCATTTGGCGAAAAAAAAACTTGCCCCCCCCGCCCCAACTAATATAGCCCCAAAACTTAAACAATAGAAATTCAGGGGTGAAATTGAAATTCCCGATGTGAAAGGTTGATCGAAGGCATGATTTGGGCCAACCTATTCAAAACATATTTTAGTTTTTCTAAAAAACCAAAAATCATCTTTTATGGTAGAATACAACTGGTAGAATCCAAAGTTTTTTTAATTTTTCAAGTTTAGCATCATCTGCTTGCTACTGATACGAAAACGGAAATCGATAAAACCGGATCAAGGGCGGTCAGCACAACGCCAAATTCAAGTCTGTGATGAATAAACCTTTTCTTCTCTTGGACTTCTGTTTTTAGCTTTATTCATGAAATTTTGTCAATCTCACATCAATCATGCAAAAAAAGATAGGGGATAGACCGGAACCAGCTAGCGTTCGACTACGCACTCGGCCATGAGACCACTCGTCGAGGGCGTGTGAGAGCCCCCTTTGGAGAGTGCCTCTAAATCTCCAAAAATGTTTAATATCTTTATCTATATATATAAAGTCCAACGCGTCCCTCTGTCCGTCTGTCTGTCCGTCACGCTTTTCATGGTTGAGGGGTTCAGAGGGGGACTGCCGAGCGAGCGGGCGGTCAAGGGTTCGAATCCCCTCGGCGCAGACGTTCACCTTTCTTGCTGAAAACTTCTACCCAGGGGTAATCGAGTATGGCGAACACGAATATTTTATTAGTTTTTCAAGATTTACACGATGCAAATACACGATGCTTGCAGTTAAAATTAAAGTTAAAATTAAAGTTAAAATTTTTTCATTTTGATTTTTTTACTTGCAGTTGTCCGAGATAGGTTTTCGCTGTTTTGTTTTAAAGCCTTTAAATTTAAACACCTAGATAGTGCGATAGTAAATTACACCTAGATAGTAAATTTAAACACCTAGACAGCGGATGCCCAGCGCAGCTGGTTAAGCTAAAAACCTTGAGACCTTGCATTTCAGTTATTTCTAGCAGCTAAAAACTTCAGAAAATTTTTATTTTGTGATGTTTTTTACCACCTGTAATTTCGAAGTCAATCTGAGATGGTGAGTAGTGAATAGCTCCCTCGTCAATACCCAGAAGTACCCCAATTTTAAATGATCTTTGAGACGCTTTACTCAGCTTCGACCGAAAGTTATCCAATCGAATTCCCGTAGAAATTATTAGTCACCCATAAAAATGCCTGCATTTCAAAACTAATTGCCTTTTATCGGGTCAAATATTAGCGCAAATCAAGACGTTTCTTCAATTTCATCGTTTCATTTCTAAATTTTCATTTGCTCATAAAATGGGAAGAGTTCTGGAGATCCTTGAAGTCCCCGTACTCACTGCATTACTTATGGGCAAGTTTTCTAATTTTTCTATTTTATCCAAATTTTAGCAATCACTTATATTCTACTGTTTATCCTTTACTGGATACCGAAAGGACACGGGCCGATCAATTACGATTCTCTCGATGAATTCGCCGCAATATCTGACCAAATTGTGATGGTGGTGAGGCTTGAGTGGGTATTTCGGATGGGTTTGGTTCAAGGCCAGACCTTTAGGATTGAAAAGATTTGGGGCAGAATCAGGACACATTTTGTACAACCGTCCAAGCCAGGAACTGATCTGAGCTCTGATCCTCCAACTGAGTTTGGATCACTCAGACACCAGAGTCAGTGTATTTAGACTAGGTCTACGAACCAGGCCATACATAGCCAGATCACAGAGCTGACCCTGAGCTGAGCAACTCTGAACCGTTTGTTAAAACATACAAAATTCTCAACTTTAGCTCTGCTTTCTGACGCTCTTCTTGAGTCCAATTGGTGGCTACTTTTCAGTAACGAATGATCATCTTACATGGCCGATTAGGTGAGAATCGAAGCTCTATTTCAAAAGTTACCGTATTGGTTTGTACCCACTTTTATTAATTTAAATCATTGATCATTTCTAACCATATAGATTACTTGCAATGGCCGAGAATGTCAACCGTTTTTTACTAGCGTTTGTCGAGGGTGGTAGCTCTTTTTGTTACTATATGATGCCTAATGGGTGAGTGAGTAATCTTAAATTTAAAAAAGAACTAATTCTGCATGAATCAGTCTTGAAAGCCTTTGAATGTGCATCCTATAAAGACTTGTAACAAAAAAATCTGCTACTGCTTTTTTGCCATTGGCAATTTAAGGTTTTTTTGTGTTTTTCGCAACACGAACCCTTCTATTTTGACTATTTCGACTATCATTTGATGCAGAATAAAATTGCACGTCGAATGATACCAAAATTAACCCGAAATGTAATATCCATGCAAAATTATGATGGAAAAAGTGAAGTCCCGCCCATAATGCGCGGGGTTCAGGTTTTTAGCCAACAACTTTGCGTGGATATTACATTTTGAGTTAAGCCGGACAAGTTTCAGGAAATGCCGAAAAAAATGCCGAAAAATGAAAAAAATGGTAAAAGGAGAATTTTTGTGCGGGGTACGGTAGCGTATCCACGCTTTAGAAAGCGCGTCGCGCCGCTTTCGCGCTTTCCCTTTAAATCGTACGTAAATAGGATTCTAACTAATGGACTGGCCATTTTTCCTCTGAAAACTCTTGGTCCTATAATTTTGTCCGGCACTTTATATCGGTAAAAGTTAAAGAAAAGAATAAAGAAACAGTGAAAGCGCTAAAAGATGGCTCAGGCGTAGAAAAACAAGTAGGTAGAAAAACATAAAAAAGGTGGTCGACTATGTTTTAAAACTTCAAAAACTACCCCTTTCTGTAAAATCCCCTAAAGCTCAAACACTATGCAGTATGAGATGATATTTTGGTATTGGGTACGCGTGTAGCATATTGTTTATTAGAAAAACCTAAAAAAAGTGGTCGACTAGGTTTTAAAACCAAAAAAACTAGCGAAAAATTAAAGGGGTGGGGTACTTTTGGAGTACCCCAGGGCATTTTCGGCGGTACTTGAGGGGTACTGGGTGGGGGTATTCGGAATGTATATCTACGGTAAAGAAAATCAGTTTAGGAAACATTTGGAATACTTACTCGATGAAAAAAAGCTGAGTATTGAACTTTCTTTTTCACTTCCATTTTTGATATCTTTAGCTGCCCTTATTTCATTTCCTATTGGTTCGACTACTTTGAAGAGTGGATTATGACACCGATCAATGTTTCGATTTTCTGTCAACTCTTCATATCGATCAGGTTTGTTCGATTTTAACACATTTGCGGTTTTTTGGGGGCAAAGTCGCGTAGTCGTTACTATTTTACCGATAACTTGGTGTAAATACGAAGAAAAACTAAACTATTATAGTCATTCGATAGCCCTGAATCTCCTCTTGAAAACTAATACAAAGTTGCCGGGAACTTTTTGCGATTTTTGCGATTTAAAGATATTCAGCCGTTCAACTGATTTGGTGGCAAATTCCAAATGTAAAGATATACAGTTTACTCGACGTGTAAATCGTGATCACTCGTAGTTACTCGACCAAAAACGTCGATTAATTGAGTTAATTAAATTAAGTTAATGAAATTATGAGTAAATGGGTACTCATGCAAATATTACTCGAGTAATTACTTACAACACACTCTAATTACAAGTCATTTAACAGTTTTCACTGTCAAATTCCCAGTCGCTACTTCGCTCTCTCATACGATGGCATCTACTTTCAACAGACCAAAAAATGGCCCATCATTTACCTCATTTTTCCTTATCTCATTATCGCTATAACCACTGTTTTGAATGAGTTTTACAATGACAATGTGATCTTGTCAAATGTCGAAAATTTCATCATGATGCTTGCAATGGCAATGTGTGCACTAGACTTTTTCACGTACAGGAAATTGCAAAAGGTTACCCTTATGAGTAATGTTTTTCTAAAAGGCACCTATTTTAGAAAATCTACCGTAATTAAACCGCCAGTTTTCATTCAATTAGCCCAAATTTAGTATCATTCGATGAGGAATCACAAGGCTCAGAGAATGATACCAAAATTGAGCTCCTTTGACGAAACGTGACTGTTTGATTACGGTAGCTTTCTAAAATAGGTATCTTTTAGCATTGTCAAAGGGTATTCTTTCAATTAAAAATTCCAAATTTCAGCTCAAACTCAGCGGTGGAAAAGTCTCAAAAGCCGAGAAACTGCTGATGATTCAAGTATGCTAATTTGAAAACTCAAAACCCTTTCTTTTCCAGATGATCATCAACTCGTTGATGGTCTTGTTCAGCAATATGTTTTTGTTGGTCATTGAAATTTCTATTATATTAATCGCACAAGATCGAATTTACGCTATCGCTTTTTTGGTCATCTACAAATTGATCTCTTTTATTTACGTTTTGATTGGGAGGTATGTGTATTTATTAGGGCTGTCCAGAAGTTCTTACGGTTCTCAAAGTTTCGATTTTTTAAAAAACGGCAAAGAGTTTCATCTAAAATTTCTAGTGTAAATTGGTGAAAATTCAAAGAAAAACTAAACTATTATAGTAATTAGATAGCCCTGAATCTCCTCTTGAAAACTAGTACAAAGTTGCCGAGAACAAAATCCTTAAAAACGAGTTGAAACCAAAAATAATCGTCTAAGGTATGGCCCACCGGTCGGTGCTAACACATTCACAACAAAGTCATTTTTGGCTTATAAGATAGAGATTCTGAATCTGTTATTAGTTTTCGAGAAACTTTAATTTCCAAGTCAATACGGTCATCACAAAACGCTCTAAAAACTTGGATAATTGAACCAAATTGGAGGAAAAAAAAGAGCGAAACCAAGTTTGACTTCTGTCCTAGAATAAAGTGAATAGTATTTGCTAACTAATAGACAAAATTTGATGACGATTGCTTGGTTCGATCGAGAAAAAGAGATATGACTGTTCAACGAAGCCAGCATGTATTTGGCCTTATTTTGAGGGCTAATGTGAGAGAAAATTTTCATACTTCAACGAAAAAAAGACAAATCAAAAGAGCTAATTGAAGTTCAATTGTATCTGGATTTTAGGTCGACCAATCCTCCTAAAAGTGTTCTGAATCCTGTTTTCCATTAGTGTTCTATAGAGCTGAGCAAGTCCACAAAGAGTAAAACACAAACACATCAACATTAGAGGCTCATTCTCTCGTCTCCACCAAGCAATCGCCATCAAATTTTGGCTACTAGTTAGCATATATTTATAGATTATTCAGTAGAAATTTCAGATAAAAATGTCGGCTGGTTTTTAGGAGATCACAAATTTAAGAACTACAAGAACTTATGGGTCACCCTAATACCAGGGAAATACCCTCGCCGATCGCCCGATTCCAAAATAGAAGTTATAGAATTGACTATGCTAGTCACAATGGTGCAAAAATCAGCTGCCCAGACATCTTAAAATTAATAAAAGCAAGTAAAACAGTAACGACTACGCGAGTACCCGCCCAAAATGTTCGCTTTAATTTTCAAGCCAACTCGCGAATATGTTAACATAAAGCTTACAAAGAAAGCACTCGTCCAACTTACGCGAAACTTACTAGATACTCTTGTGTACAAGTCCTTCGTGCACACCAAGAAACGCACCTATCCTCGCAAAGCAGATCTAGGGTTACGGCAGTTTTTGAAAACACAACATTTAAGCAATGCATTTAAGCATTTAAGCCATGCTCTTTCATCTGCAAGCATTTTTAGCTTGCTATTCGTCATCTTCTTGAAGAAGCCCGACTCGAAATCTGAGTTTGCCGGGAAAACTTTGACGCTCAGACCAGCCAGCACAACAACTTTATAAAGCTTAAAAGATAAATCACAGTTTTTTTTGATTCTCTGATAAATATTTTGTTGTACGAAGAAGTGACTGAATCACTTGAAAATTTATGCCTTTCCCAGTGAGGTGACAAATTTTTCTTATTTCTTTGGCTCGTTATTAGTCCCCCGGCTTCTGTCCATTCCAAAAATTCCACTTAGCCTTTTTTCTAAATGAAGAAAAGCTATGAAGAAAAATTCCTCGATAAAGGAACGTTCGGAGATGTTTTTGAGCTGATCGGACATCAGCCGTGATTTTGGCAATTATTTTAAACAAACCAACTTAAGATGTTGTTTTTCAGAATCAATTCCAATTGATATTTTAGCCCAGCTGTCATCAAATATCTATTCTTTCAAAGATCGGAAAGAGGGAAAGAACTTTCAAAATGTTCGCTTGTCGAAACAGAATAAAATTGAGGTCATGGAGAAGTTGCTCTAAAAGAAAAACAAAACAAAAAGTCGAACCCTGATCTTGTAGGCTGAAGCTTAATACGTTATCCACTAGGCCACCTACAAACCCGTTTCTCCGCCAGGAAGGAGCCTTTTAAAGCATCCGTTTGACGCCAAATTCTCGATGGAAATTTACACGCCTGGAAAGTCACTTGGCAGATTTTGCTTTCGGATTCGGATTCCTCATACCCGATCCTATAAAGTGCACTAAACAAAAGACAAAAGCTGACCTCGAGTTCCTGCCTTTCCCTAGTCAGTCATCCAAATATCGTCAATCTCATTCAGATAAGGATTGATGTATCGAATAAAATGGGATTTTTGCCAAAGAGGAACTTTGAGAAAATGTGGGCGGCAATTTTCTTTCTGCTCAAAATTTGAAATACACTCTTTCTGGGGCACTCGGTTGCAAAAAGAATCATTGAAATCACTCAATGTTAAGGGTTAAAAGTCCATATCCAAATGGTCTGTGCGTACTTTGCGAGCAGGAGTCCGAATTAGGACCAATTCTCACTAAAATCAAATTATTGGGAGTTAAGCGTAGTAAGATATCTTTTGATGAAGATTTATGTAGAAACGACTAAAGCAAAGTGGTTTATCAAGCATTTATCTTTTAGGTATGTGATTTATCAAGTAGCAAAAGATGAAATTCGCTTTTCAGGTCAGTTTCAACCTTTAGTATCTCAGCTTAGCATTTTAGTTTAACAACAATTAAACAAACAACTAATAGACTCAAAAATGAATAGCTCAATTGATTCCCTTATCCCAAAAACCCTATTACAATTTTTACAATGGGGTACAATTTTTTAGCTTTTTTTTTCTATTCTTAAATTTTTGGGATCAATGTTGCTCGAAATTTGTTAGTATTTTTGCTATAAATTCTAAATCCTGTCAAAGCAAGAAAATTTGGTTATAGTGAGATCGGTCCCAATCCAGAGCGCTTCTCTAAATCCTGACAAGCCAATCCAGTTAGAATTGGCGATCAGAAAAGTGCCCAAATGAATCTATGAAATTATCCAATTAAGAAACAAAAAAAACCTATATTTAGTGCAAAATGTAGAGTTTCTAATTTGTAGTATAAAAATGGGTAGAAATAAGCAAAAATCAAAAATTTTTCTAAAAACACCTCCAAGTCTTTTGTACCCAGATTTCATTGTGACATCATTTGCAAAAGAGAAAAGCCTTTAATGGAATTATTTTTAATATCGTGAGACTTTTTGGCCAAATTGCGCAAATTCAATTTTGGAAATATCGCTTGAAGGAACGAAAATTGTTACGTTGTCCTCAAAATTTGCTCATTTTTATATTTTCGATGTATTCAATACTGCAATCGATTAAAAGGAATCGATTTTTGGAAAGATATCATGATCTATTGTTTGTGGCTTTGTTGACAGCTTTACTACTAGGTATTTTGGGATTTGGCTTTGTTTAGAGTACAAGTTCTACAATTTTTTCTGATCATGTATTTTGTGCTCAGTCGGAAATAGAAACGCATCCTTTCTGGCGTATCTGCTTGCCCATTTCTCTAGCAGATTTGACTAGAAGAAGTAAGACATTCAGTGCGCCAGGCAAGGTGTGTTTTTGGGCACAAAATACACCATACCGAGCACTCTATCATTACAGTACTACAGTGAAGTACTTTGACCAAGTACCTATCGTATTATCTGATCAATTTCTATTCCATCATAATTATTTTTACTTTTATCAAAAGTTTATCTAATCAATTTCCATTCAATTTAGGTCTATATGCCCTTTTAACAAACATCTACCTTTTCTTTTGGACCCTCTTAACTGTGCAGCCGGATATCAGTGATGAGTTGAGAGGTCAAATTGTGAATATCACATCGGCTGTGTCTTCTGGGGTAATCGTTCTGATTATACTTTTGATAGCTTTATAACTAGTTGATTTTTCGGGCAATTTCTTTACTACGACTGACTATATTGAGTTATTCTACACTTTTATCAAAGTTCAGGTCCTACTAGCAAGTCTACCAGTAACACCAATTGCCGTTTTCTATGCGGTGACGAATAATCGATTGTCGCTTCCAATTCGGTACTGTTTTCTCACTATTAGAATTCAATGCATTGGATTAGATTATTATCTCAGTATTACATAGTTTATAGGCAAGACTAGGGCAGGCCAAACCAGCTCATAGGTTCTGACTTGCTTAGTCGCTTGGCGTTGGCTATCTGCAGGCCTTGGTTATCAAAAAAAGTGTCTGAGCCGTCAAAAAGTCGGCTCTGGTCTGTCTTGGTTAAAACCTTTAGAATCTAATCGGACCTCCTTGGCAAGAATCACTTTAGATTACTCGCTGCCGGTGAGAACGCTAATAAATTCGTTTACGCGCTCAGCTATGGCTCTATCTACTTCTGTGATTTATCAATTCCAAATCTAGAGTAAGAAAATTGTAAACTTAATTATTCTACATGGATTTTGAACTCTTTTTGACTTTGACTCTTGTCTCACACTCAGTTTTAGATGCTCTGACGAGTTAACGACAACTTTCAACGATCTCTTCTTGATTGTCACCAACTATGGAGTGGTCGATATGGCCCAATATTGCCAAGTTCTCATTTCTTTGAGGTAAATCTTACTGAATCAATTATTTTCTATTATATCTTCCTAAGAAATAATTGGTTTTCTTCTTGGGTACTATTTTGGCACGGTGTCTGCTTTGCAGAGTCAAAACGTCTATGGGTTTCTCGTAAACCATGGGTTTACGAGAAAACTTTCAATCAAATACTCAAGCCAGAAACCAAGCGTGACAACTGCTTTACAAACCACAGTAGCTTTACGTCGAAACGTTGAATTTTATCTCGCCTTGCGGGATATGAATCATAAATCAGCTCGCCTTGCAAGAAAACCAGCCAACATGTGAAGGTGAATAGAAATTAAAGTATTTTGCTCTGAAGAGTCTGAATCTTATACGTGTTATTTGGGTTGAATTAAGTTAGATTTAATTAAATACGAGAAAAGAATCGATGAGCGACTCACACAAAACAAGGCAATAAAAACAAAAGAGAAGGGGAAAGCGAAAAACGCGCCGAAAACCTAGCAAGCGCTAGCGCTAGCTCAAGCCTAAAAAAATTCCCAAAAAATGTTAAGAATAACCAACGGGAAAAAGGAGCACAAAATAGCCAAAGGCACTTATCGATTACGGTAGAACCATGGGGAACGGGGCATAAAAAGGGAAAGACTCGACCAAATACTTATTTCAGTCGTTTCTTTGTCCTTTCCTTTGACGGTGGTTACTTTCGATACACTCAACGATGGCCTTGGGCTCAACTAGCATTGCCTTATCTTTTGCGAATTGTCATTCAAAGATTTAAAATGTTCTTCTATGATGAAGGGGATTACTTCACTTGGATCGATTATTATATTATCATGTTGCCATATTTTCTGATGTGTGCACTGGATTTTGTGACGAATCGAAAAATGAAAGCGGTGAGTTAATTGGGTGCTGAAAATAAATGTCTCCGTCATGAAATTTGCACCAGAAAGGGGTGTGCCACTGCTTTCGAGCACAAAGTACACTCCACTGCTTCTTTACATCCTTTGATAGTCTGACAGAGCTTTTGCTTATGCATGTTTTACTGTAGTTTCAATTTATGACGCCAAGTACTCACAGTACTAACCAATCGAAATCAAAAGTTAATTGTTTAAACATTTTTAAACAGTTCTTGAAATCGTGCATAACACTTTTTGGCAAAGTAAAATAACTAATTTAGCTAAAGCGATCTGGAAAAGTCTCCAGAACCGAAGCGTTGCTGATGATGCAGGTAGATCTTTTTAAGATCTATAAAAAGCCATACTCATACTGTCAAACTTTTTATCTTTAAAGAGTTTTCCCAATTTCAGATGCTAGCCAGCACTCTCTTCACTCTCACCAACACGATTTTCGCCTATTTCATCGGCATTTTTATCAATTTCTTCTTTGGCGTCAATATTTTGGAGCTTTTCAACGAAGCGCTCTATTTCAATCAGTTTTTCCTCTTTCACTTTGTTGCTAGGTAGAATTTGGCGAAAATTTGTATCCCTCATCCAACTTCAGTGCAATAAGTGTACTGTGCTTTCGAAAACCGAGAGAACGATCAAAAACTCCAACGCAAATCACAGTTATCTCAATGACTCCAATCCCAAGAATACATTGATGAACGATTTGAAGGAATTTTGAAATAAAGTTTTCAAAACCCTTGGATCTTTGAACAAAGTTCGCAGAGTTGAGTTTAATTTCGAATTCAAAACTTCATTCAAACTTTCCTTACTATTCAACAAGTCACAAAATATGTATTGGGTTGGGGAGAATGAGTCGGCGCCCAACTTTAAAGGGACTTTTTGCACACATAAAGCCTTCTTTAAACATACGTTTGGTTTCATCAAAAGGATCCACTATTTCTCTACAAAATGACTTTTGAGAGATTCCACAAAGCTTTTCTTTTTTGGGATTTTATGGATTCCCAAACACAGCTAATCAAAATAACAAAAGTCCGACTCATTGCTTGAACAGTTTCTTCCACATAAACCTCCTTTGGTGTGTATATAAAAAAGATAGAGCACATTCAATTACTTAAGTTGCCAAATTTGCAGGAAGATCCCACCAATGGTTTTTTCTAGATCACAGTTTGTAGTTTTTGTGAAAAAATGATCCTTTGTTGAGTTGAGGCGCTGTTTGAGTTCTCTTTTAAATATTATTTTGTAGAGAATTAGTTACCCTTCTACGGATATCAAACGCATATCATTTGACGAAGTCGAATAGAAGTTTTAGACATTTTTTTCATTTTCGGCGCCGACTCATTCTCCCCAACCCAATATATGACACAAAAAGTAGCCAAATCTTCGCCATATTTCAGTTCACATCCGGGTTTTTTTGTTTGAAAAGGGCAGAAGTCATGGAAAATTTCAATGTAGGATGAAAAAAAAGCAGTGCACTTCCCGATACGCCCAAATAAAAGCCCGGATTGCATAAAGTTTTCAAAAATCGGCGAAACACAGAAATGATTGCTCTTCTCGCCGACTGCTTTGTTGATCGTCCCTTCCAATGGTTTGATTGTTTGAAATTGTTAAATTTATCAAATATTTTTAGGTCACCGCTGATCCAACAGTTGCTCCTACAATGAATTTGAAGATTTGGATTGTTCCTAAGACAAAGCCAAGTTTGCCTAGGCTTGACAAACAACGAACCCTAAGCAATCTCTATCAATCTCTTTCTAAAAACCCAAAAATTTTAGCCTGATCAGTGTCATCTGTTTCCGAAAGCCAAAAGAGGAAAAGTAGCTCTCCCGAGCAACCACGGTGACTTCTTTTCGAACGTTTGCACCAATTGGATGAACACTTTGATACATTGCAACATTGTTCACCCTGGGAAATCCTATAAAGTCCATGAGAATTTACAGTACAATAAATGTTATTCAGTTAAAAATTTGTTCTTTTTGCTCTTGTCTGCCTTAAAATCTGAACTTTATCTTGTTGCGGCAATTATGGCAAACCTTGTGGTATACATAGATTGACAGATCTGGTGAATCGAATCGAATTATTGGGTTGGGGAGAATGAGTCGGCGCCGAAAATCAAAGAAATTTCTAAAACTTATAGCAGACTTTGTCAAATGATATGCGTTTGATATCCGTAGAAGGGTAACTAATTCTCTACAAAATAATATTTAAAAGAGAACTCAAACAGCGCCTCAACTCAACAAAGGATCATTTTTTCACAAAAACTACAAACTGTGATCTAGAAAAAACCATTGGTGGGATCTTCCTGCAAATTTGGCAACTTAAGTAATTGAATGTGCTCTATCTTTTTTATATAAACACCAAAGGAGGTTTATGTGGAAGAAACTGTTCAAGCAATGAGTCGGACTTTTTGTCATTTTGATTAGCTGTGTTTGGGAATCCATAAAATCCCAAAAAAGAAAAGCTTTGTGGAATCTCTCAAAAGCCATTTTGTAAAGAAATAGTGGACCATTTTGATGAAACAAGACGTGTATTTAAAGAAGGTTTTATGGGTGCAAAAAGTTTCTTTAAATTTCGGCGCCGACTCATTCTCCCCAACCTAATCAAAATAGCTTCACGTAAAATCACATCTACAGGGTGCGCCAAAAACTCTGTTGTTATGTCACGCGTTGGCCAAAGCTCAAAAATTGTATTTTGTTTGAGCCCAATGAAGAATATCATAGAAACTAGTAGAACTTTTAAACTATTTAGTAGTGAGATTCAATGGCATAGGTTGCTTCTGCAAAAAATTATGAAAGCTAGAAAATTTAGTACCCTATTCTGAAAGTTCAAAATTTTACTTCACCAAAAACAGATATTAAAATAATATTTTTGGATCCTAGAAAACTCATATTACATAAAAATTTATTTGCTGTTCAGCTTATACAAAAAAATGAGAACCATAGATAGTCTCAAAAAATTTTTATACTTGAAATTCAGGCAAATCGTCCGCGACCAAACACCCTGCTTATAAATTTTTTGCTAGTAAAAGATAGAATTCCTCTGGGGACATTTTATTTGCCGCTTTTTATACGTTTCTCTTCAATATTCATAAAATAAGCTCAAAAAAATCCAAAGTTGATTGGTATTTGCCTTCAAATCTATAAATTCAGTAGGTGTGATGACAGAACTTTTGGCACACTCTATATAAAAGAAAATCTATCAAATTACCAAAAATCAAATCAAATATAAATGCATTTGCCAAGAGATCTATTAGGCTGATCAACTAGTTGTCCAAATTATCCGGGTCAAATAGGTCAAAGTCATTTGCTCATTTTTAGTGTCTATTTATAGCCTTTTAGAATAAAAATAAGAATAAGAAATAAGAAGAGGAAAGAAGATAAATAAGCAAATTCTGTAAAGAATTGCCCAATTGTAGAAGTTCAATTCCAGGATGATGGCGATCGGCGTATAAAAGCTGATAGGTATTTGTCCTAAAATTTATAAACCTCGTAAGTGTGGTGAGAGAACATTTAATGGATGGATGCTTTAATGGATGTGAAGGTTTTGTGTGTGCTCAATGATAAAGTAAGCCGAAATAACGCAGAGAGAATTTATTGACACTTGGACACTTTTTTACTCCCGCAAACACGCATTCTACACCAAAGCACCAAAAAACTGTATCAGTCAATTACACTGACCGCTTTTTAAATGTAAATTAAGTCCGCTATCAACTAATTACATTTGTGCATGATGCACGTTGAAGTTTGTTATATCGAAATTTGACTATATTTACAAAAAATTGCTTGCAAAATCGAAACAAGCGACTAGTGTATGTGCTTAGTGTTGAGACAACAATCAAAAACGAATCTCACGAGCAACCGATCGAGTGAATCATAAAAAAAAAGGTGAACACAATGAAGAAGTAAAGCGATGAAAACTTGGTTTTTCTCTTTTAACAGATTTCCTTCTTTTCATTGCTTTGGGTGGTCCATGTTGACACCGAGTCGGTGGAAATCGAAGATGCGGGTGCTCTGACGGCCCACGGAAGTGGTTCGGCTAAAAAAAACAATTTGTGCAAATTATTGAAACACTCCAAACGTTTGGTTAAATTTTCGAGCTTTTTAAACGGTTGCTATTTGTTTTTATAAATCTTTTGCTTTTTGTTAAGTCGATTTGTTCTCAAACAACGCATACCTGAGCCAAAAATGAGAAAGAATGTGCCGCTGACGATGAGTGCGCCGGCGATCACAAAGAACACTATCCTCCATTCACTCATCGTATTCTGCAAGTGTTCTATGTATAAAATAAGATTCTTTTAGATTATGACTAAAAGATTGTCAATTTGAGTGCATGCTTTTGGTAGTTGTTTTGCCATTTTTTTTAATCAGAACTCAGGTCCACCAACTGCTAAATTTAGCAAAATTGTTTTGGTATTTACTAGGTTGTTAAAAAAGTTTGCACTTGGAGAAAAATTCAAATTCAAATTATTTTCAAGATGGATTATTATGGTTTTTGGCTCATTTCAAAGCCTGTTTTTTTCATTTCAAAGCCTGTTTTGCGAGCATTTTGTTATATTTTGTTACTTTACACATTCCACATCTTTAGATGGATAAAAGTGAATTTCGTGTTTTGCTCCGTCACTATTGGAAGAAAATCTATCTGCGAAATCTGCTGAAGTGATTCGTGAGGTACAAGGCGAAGGAACTGTTGGTAAAACTTCTGCGATCCAGTGGTTCAAACGCTTCAATGACGGTACTTTTGATCTCGAAGATAAGAAATTGAAGAAGCGCGTCAAGAGTTCTTTAATTCAACGGAGCCGGCTTGATACTTCGAGCAGATCCGCAATCTTGCTGATCGATGGCAGAAGGTCGTAGAGAATGACGGACTAAACTTCGAAGAATGAACGTTCTTGTTTTTGTTGATTATTTGCGAATAAAAATTGAATTTTTCTGCAAGTGACCGCGAACTTTTTTAACAACCTAATAGCAATAGCATTTAGCAACGTTGCTAAATGCTAAATTGGTAAATGCTAAACTACTAAATCCGTTTAGCAAAATTGCTAGATGGTAAATTGGTAAATAGTTTGGTGGACCCGGGCCTATATTCAATTTCTCCGATGATTTGATAACACTTTCCGATTAATTTTTACCTGAACCGTAATGAAACCAATGATGTATGGAGAGGCGATGCTCGCGATTTGGCCGAAAACTCGTGTGAGCGAGTTTACGGCTGCTGTATGGGCCGGGGCCACAGAAAGAAGTGATGTGAAGTATCCTGAAATATTCAAAATTCCGACATGGCCCGATGGCCGACTGGCTAGGAGTCCTGTCTCTTATTCAAGGAAGGTCAAGGGTTCAGTCCCGCCGGCTAGATTATTAGTTCTTTTTCCCATCTATATCGGGTTTTTTTTCTTCCCTACATTTAGAGATTAGGGGTTGTGCTCGTGTATTGTTTGTACGACATTTGTGTGAGTAAATGTATTTACTTTATTCCTAAAATCACCAAAACTCTCACCAGGAATGTAGCCAGAGAGAATCGCCATGGCACCCGCGAAGAGCATCACAGCGATCGCCTGTTCGTCACAGCTCACGAAAGTGACCCCAATCACGCACGCCGCTGCACCAAAGGAAGCTAAATTCGTGTCATTTTTTAGTGATTATGAATTAGGAACCGATCGAATTGAAGAATTTGGTGACAATGTTAAGGGAGCCCTTGTAACGACGTTTTACCGCATCCGCAATCGCAGCCATGACGAATTTGCTGAATAGCTGGCAAATAAAGGGCAAGGCCGACCAGATTCCATTCTAGAATATAGGATATGACGGTGAACACTTGAGGAGTAGCTCGATTAACATTTTAATATTTAATCTAATTTTAAGAGATTTCGATTTTACGATTAATATTTTAAAGGGGTACTCCGGCCCCAAAAGTGATTTTCTAAAACCAAAGTTGATTAACGGTTTTGTGTTGGGGTATTTAAGGAGTTTTTTTCTTTCTTTTCACATCTTTGACCTTTTATTAAGTTTTTCGCCTTTTCTATCCCTTCTTTACGTTTTTTTTCTTTCAGCACTCTCTACCACACGTAATAATGAATTCCGAAGAAAAAGTTTCTAGGTGACGGTTTATTATTTGTGCTTGAAAGATATTTAGGAAAATAGTTTTCTTGATTTCAATGTTCTATATCTACAGATTAACAAGTTGTTTAAAAAGTATTAAGAAAATTAAATTTGCAGCCATTTCGAATCAAAATTTGAGCAATTTTCAACGATTTCTAAAAGGTAGGACGATGGGAAAGTTTTAATCAAAAACTTAGTTTTTTCTTTAGCTTTCGCTAATGAAAGGGTAATAATTCTGAATATTCGTAAGAACCTTGGCCTCAGCCAATCGCTTCTTGAAAAATCTAATGAAAAATAAAAAAGCAAAAGCCAAATGAAAACGAGCGGAATTCGAACCCTCGAGGGTTGGCCTCTTTGGCAAGAACACTAACCACTCCAAACCGATAGCGCGCGCCGGTCGCTGAGAACGGCTTATAATGGTTTGAAGCAAAAATCGGATTTCTCTGGGGACCGGATTAACCCTTTAAGTTAGGTTTAATAAAAGTACTCTTTGGAAAAGATGATCTCAAACCGAAGTAAGATTCATTCGAAGGACGAATTTGAGATATCGTGGGAGATAAGTCGTGAGCGAGACGGTGATTATTGATTGAGCTGCGGTGCAGAGAACCATCGCCCATATAACGCTCGATGTCAGAATTCGACGCCATGGAGCTTTCACTCGTTTTTCAACGCCTTTTCGACCTCTGAATTAGGATTAGAGATTTTTTTTGAATGCAGAAAAAAAGTACTCAAGAATATAAGATTTCTCTTCTTCAGAAATAAAGCGGCTTTCGGCTGGGGAATCGTTGATGACGATCAGCCAGAGAACGCAAAAAATGGCGCCGAAAGCTCCTAAAACGTTTAAATTCGAGAATAAACGAGTTGATGAGATACCGTAAAGATAGAAAATTGACGGCCAGCCGCCAAGGAAGTCGATTTGGCAGAGTTGTGAGGAAACAAAAAGCGAAAGAATTGTCGAGATCTATGAGGTGTTCAATAATTATTATTAGAGTGTGTTCCTAATACGTTTTCTAAAAGGCATCTATTTGAGAAAACTACCGTAGTCAAACCGTTAGTTCACATCCGATCAGCTAGATTTTGGTATCATTGACTGAGCCTTTTAATTCCTCATCGATACAAAAAATGAGCCAACTGATTGAAAATTGGAGGTTTAACGGTAGTTTTCTCAAATAGGTGCCTTTTAGAAAACGCATTACTCGAGAGGAACACACTAATTATTATAAACTGTCTGGATCTACAGCCTACCTGATTTCCCGCAGTGTAGATGGCACTCGCAGTGCTTTTCTCGAAGGCCGGGAACCATGCGGCAATCACCGTGGCGGCCGTCGGCAATAAAACACCCTGAAATTCGTCAACTACCGTAAATACTCTAATAGAAGCGCACCTCTAATAGAAGCACTCCCTTTGACTGAATATCATGCTCTTGAGAAAGCTAAAGATATTCAGTTTTCTCTTTTGTAGTCTGTAGTTTGTAGCCTTACGCAAGAAAACCCTCATTTTGTTCAACTCTTCTGTTTCTCTACGCTTATTCATTTTTCTAACGTTTTGCTACTTTATATCCTTTTTTCGCCAACATAATTTATCTTATGCGTACTCACCGTAATCGCTAAACTTTAATTTGAACACAAAATTCATTGAACGACCACGCTACACCCTTTGTCTTTTTTGTCAGTTTCTTTTGGATTTCATATTTATTTTCGAATTATAATTCTCTTTTTTAGATACGATGAACGATCGAGAAAGCTTGGATGGATTTGAACAATTTCGAGATCGAAGAAAAAGGTACTTGGAGTACTTGGAGCAATGACGAGGGCATCTTCGTGAGAATGGATTCAGTGATCAATCAGTGAAGGAGTTGAACAAAGACACGGTCAAGCAAAGACGAAAATTGATCGACGTGAGGATAAAACTCGAGCCAGCAAAAATGGCAAAGGAAGTCTTCATCAACTCTGCTTCTGCAAAGCAAACGGCGAAGAAGACGATTTGATCCAATGTTTCAAAGTCGCAATTCCGCAATTCCGACTGGGCTGCAGCTGCTAAAAGACGCTAGAATGGAGAAAGAAATCGTTGATCTTCCGGGGCTACTCCAATCAGCACGACTTTTGGAATTCGGCGAACTTGATAATCAAGAAGGAATCGATGAATTTATGGATTCAGACACATTGCTTTGTTTTGGGGATTGATCTATTTTTATGTTTAAATCACTGTTGTTTTGTTGATTGTTAAAGACACACACTCAACTAGAAGCGCATTCAAGCGAGGAAGGGAAAATTAGAGTATTTACGGTAGTAAAATTCATGCCTTCATGTCGTGTATTTTTTTGGGAACTGAAGGGAACATTGATTCATTTTTGTCAAAGATATTCGTAGTAAGTTTTATATGGAGAATAGTCAACGATTACCTTATCACCATTAGAGAAAAAAAGTAAAAAAAGGCTCATGGTTTCCACACTTATTGATCACCCTTTAACACTAATAAAAATAAACCAAAAAAAATTTTTAAAAAACCTCCCACGAGCTGTTAAAAGCTATCCTATAATCGCGTAAATCTATTTAACGCTTAAACATAGCACGCGCACAAATCAGCAAGTAAACCAACTTTCTTCCAAAATGTGTAAAGTTATCACCTGTCCGAGACCCATCACAAATCGGACGACAATGAGAAAGGCCACTCCACCATGTTGAGCCGCCACAGGGGTCACCCACGAGCCGACCACGTTCAGTATTGTTCCGATCAAGAGGACTCGAGCTGCGCCAAACCTAGAAAATATCGGATTGACATTGAAAAATACATTTATTCACACGAATAGTGTGGTGTAAACAATACACAAACCCTAAGTCCTAAATGTAGAAAAGAAAAAAACATATATAGGGTGGTTCATAGAAAGTGGTCTACTTTGCTTATCTGAAAATTTTTTGCGCTGTGTTTTGATGGGCTTGGGCCATGGCACATTGTGGTGTCAGAATTGGTTTTGCCTCAGGGGTCACACATTGGGACAAAGTTCGTTTTTTTTTGAAAATTTTATGAAGGGGTCATGTGATGGTCGAAGGCCCAAAATCACCGTACATCGTGGTGTCAGAATTGGGATACATGTAATGGGACCACTAAATTTCTTTATTTCACCATAAATTCTTTTACTTTTTATTCCTAATAATTTGCTTTAATTTCCTTAACTTCTATGATAATATTTCAGAGTGCACGACTGGACCGTTCATTTCAGAAAACGTGGGAAAAGCGGGGGATTTTTGAGGGAGAATATCTATCTGTAGCTTTTATCTTAGCATCAGGAGACGGCCATCTTTTTGGAATTCACTAGGCCAACATTATATTCGAATATTAGCCATAAACGTGAAAGCTGACATTTGGACCATTCTTTTGATGTATTTCGCTCCAAAAATCAACTTTCGAATTGCAAAAATGTCAGCTGAGCTACCAAAAAGCTTTATATTTACTTTCTGTATGTCGATTCTGAAACAGAACTCTTGTGATTTGGTCTTCTTTCTTTCTTATTGAACCAGCCATTCTTATTGCATTTAACATTTAGCTGAATATTTTTAATTTCGTGTGAAAAAAATATACGAAGATTTTGGGCTTTTGACCTTACATGATCCCTCGAAATTTTCAAAAAAACAAACTTTGTCCCAATGTGTGGCCCCTGAGGCAAAACCAATTCTGACACCACAATGTGCCATGGCCGAAGCCCATCAAAACTCAGCGCAAAAAATTTTCAGATAAGCAAAGTGGGCCACTTTTCTATCGATCACCCTGCATATGGGAGAAAAAAAGACCGGGATTGAACCCTTGACCTCTCAACTTAAATACAGGGGTCTTAGCTAGTCGGCCATGGCGGCCATTTACAGTAGAACGCACTTCTGGACGAGATTCGAGCAGAGTAACACCGAGACAAGACCGCCCCAGTAGAAAGAAGCAAAAATCCATGCTTGGGCTTGACTTGACCAATGGAGTTTCCCATTCTGAACAATAATTGCATGCGCATCCCATTTTATTTCCTACTATTTTTTCCGAGTCTTGCTCATTGGTAGAAGAGTTTCGAGCAGGACACGTGTCTCTATTCGAGTCGTTTGTCGACTAAAATTTATAATTGTCTGATTTCGAGAAAAGCTACATCTAATCTATGCTTTTGCAACTTTTTTTTGTCACCTCAACGCTTTCTGTGTGATTTAGCATGCAGACCATGGCCATGTTGAGGTCTGTCTTCATCATCCCTTGCACCGTCACCCCCAACATCACAAGTAGCACCACCCGTAACCGGATCGATCGAATTGAAAGAAGGGCTAAAGGGATATATAAAATATCATAATTATTCTAATAGAAGGGCATGCCCGTTTAAAAGTGAAAATCTTTTCCCACCTGAACCCCCTTAAGAATCTTTCAAACCGTTTCAAACCGAGAGCATGAAATGGCGCCGACTTTCAAAAAATTTTCTGGAACGCATAAAAGCTCCATATAATCTATGGTTTGTATAATCGAAAAGGTCTATCATTGCTCTACAAAATCGCTTTTGAGAAATTACAAAAAGCTTTTGTTTTGTAGATTTTATGGGCTCCTAAACACAACCAAACAAAATGACAAGGAGCCCGATTTTTCATTTGACTCGTTTATTTGTTATCGTTTATTTAAAAGACATACGGTAGGGATATTGAGGTGTCTTCTCGTTGAGAACATTGCTCAAAGAGCTTTGCGTTGTCGAGGTTGACATTGGGTGTTGAAATCTTTTGATGTCAGTGAAATTGAAATGAATGAAAGATTTTTTTAATTTTTCTATTTTTCTATTTTTTCTCGAATGCGGCTTTTTATGTGCTATTCTCTTTTCCGTCGCTCTCCGAGATAAGCAATTATATTAAACGGTGTCATTTATTCTAAAAAATAAACACGATGCTCCCCATTGTGTGAACGTAAAAATTATTTTAAACGGCTGCTACTTATTCTAAAAAAGCGCTGCAACAAATTTTCGGATTCTTTCGGAGTTTTCTTGAATCACGAAACATCGGCCCGTCATCGAAACCAGACAATTAAATTAAGAAAGCGACTTGTTTTTGTTTCTAAAGAAATCACGTCAAGATATCTTTTATTTAGAGTTTTAATAACGTTTCGTAAAAAATGTGTTCTTGTCAGAATCATGCTTAATCGCTACACATAATTCACTACGCGTTGTGACATTAAGGCTAACAAATCGTTAAAGACGCAGAGCATGATGTATTGGGTGAATGCATATGAAATGGCTAATGCACGTGGGCAATCTTGACCTTGGAAAAGATAACGAGGACGTCAACTACGACTCGAACGCGTCAATTGAATTAAACACTACTCCTGGAAATGAACGGACGTCTGCTAGCCATACTGAAACCGAATTATAACTTCTCCAGAGAATAGAATTCAATGATCTGAATACCAATGAAATCATTCTTGGTGAATAATAATGTTTTAAATTGGATTTACTGTTGTTGTTACTTTTTTTGTTATATTTGTTGCTTTACTTATCCAATTGTTTATAAATAAAACGTTGAAGATGTTTTTTGTATTTGCAATCTTTGGTTATTATCATTTTTATTTTTAGGTAGTTTGGATCACAACTTTATAAAATATACGTACTCGTGCTCTATTAGACGTACACTCTAGAGGGTACTTGAAAAATAGACGTACATGTACGTATATTAGAAGTTCTACGGTAGTTTGTTCCACAGCTGGAGTCTTTGGTCAAAAAGCTGATTATTGTATAACTTTTCACTAGCAACAAATCATTAAAAAAACTTTTTGAAATCTGGTGATTGTTTGGATAAATCCGGAAAAATTTAGCCATTTCAGATGCATTGACCCAATAAAAAGTGGTAAAGTGGCTTTCATTTGTTTTAAACGCTGATAATAAACCACAAGTTATCACAAATCTTGTCATAGTTTATCGATGAATTCACTGGTTTTGATTTTTCAACAATAACAACAGTCAATAGATGTGTGAATTTTGGCCTTCCCCTTCAAAAAGCATTATTTATTTTCTTCAAGCTTTAAAATTAAGCTCTTTGTGACTCGATCAAACTCTTTTCACATTGAGCGACTCCTATTGAGTCGAAATTCTCACTCCATCTTTCGATGGAGTCTTTTTCAACACCTCCGTCCAAGTAAAAAATCCCAAAACGAAAAACGAAAGAAGCAATCAGTAAAATAAACAAAACAATAAGAAAATATTTTAATTGCTCATGGTCTTTCGCACTTTTTGGAGTGAAATTTTGATAACTTTCGACCTCTTCGAGCTCCAAATCAGCTTTCGGTGAGCGTTGTTCTGAACATGAAATTTCGTGAAATCTTTGAACACATTTTTGAACTCAAAACTCTTAAACTTAACCTTCTTTTTGTTTAATCGGATGTATTAACAAAAAAGTTAGCACTTACCAAAGTAAAAATATTGAGCACATTCGTCATGAGGAACACATTCTCGGACCTGAAGACTCTTCCAAGCAAATCCCTTCTTGCAATAGCAACCCGACACTTTATGACCACGATCAAGCTAAAAATTTATACGGGTTTAAAAAACTTTTGAACGAATATAAAGCCAACAAGAAATTGTTTTCACTTTATCAATGGGCCCTCGATATTTCAATTGGTCAAGATCATCACAAATTGGCTCATCTCGAGGGTTAGAGAAGCGATATTCTGAGTGCTCATCACAAGAAATTACTAAAAATTTAAAGAAATTAGCATTGCTCTTTTAAATGTTACTCTTTTCCTTTTCCTCCTTCACTTCGACATCAGCTCGGACGATGAAAGCGAAACAAAGCAGAATTGGAAAAAATAATAAGCATAAAAATTCTTTCTTCATTTCGAATTTGTTGAATTTGAAAGACGGCTGAGTGGCTTTGTGCGGTTTTCTTGCTTAAGCTCAGTTTAGGAGAAACAGCAAAAAGTGATAAGACTTTTGGGGGAAATAGAAAACGCACAGGCTCTGCACCCGTTTCTGAAACTCTATTTGGCTTTCTCAAATAATCAAATTGAATTTGATTATAAAAAATAGTCGGAATGGACTTATTGAAACCCCAACTTTAGCTGGTATCTCTCGAAATTCGACGATTATCCGAAGTCCCGGAAAGCATTGATACCCTTTATTTTGTAGAAAATCTCAGAAAATTCATGTGTATCACAAATTCAAAATAAAAATATGTGTCCACCAATCCAAAAAAAGTACCCAAATGCATCATAAAACTAAAACATCATAAATGGTGCGCCATAATTGTCACAACAAGCTCAAGTTCTAATTTTAAGGCAGACAAGAGCAAAAAGGACAAATTTTTAACGGAATAACATTTATTGTGCATTAACAATTATAAATGAACTATCATATTCGAATCGGCCACCATTAACATTTAAGCAGGCTCGCAGGCGTTTCGGGAAGGCGTCAACAGTGGCGACCAAATAGGCTGGATCGAGCTTTTCTCACGCTTTCAACAGTGATTTCTTCAAGCTTTGTGTTTTTGTGAAGAATTTAACAAGCTTGGCTTCTAGAATCGACCACGCTGAAAAATCTATTGGGTTGAGGTCTGGAGAGCTAGGTGGCCACTCAGAAAAAGAAATAAAATCCGGGAAGTTGTTTTGGCAGAACTCTTGAACTTTCTTGAATTTCTGGGCCGGTGCGCTAACTTGCTGATAGGCCCAAATGCGATCTCCAAAATGTTTACGAGTCCAGGGCAAGAGTTTATTCTTGAGAAGAGCCAGGTAGTTACCTTGTTACCGCGCGTGATACCTTGTTGCGACAATTATGGCGCACCCTGTATGCAGTGAATACGAACTCCACCTACATAACGGCATTTACTTTTGTAACTTTTAATAGAATTTAAAAACTAAATAGATAAACAGCTTGAAATTGGGTGATTTGGGTTTTTTGTGTCAGAGCAAAAAGACTCGAAAAAGACCTTTAATTTTATAGAACAAATCTTTGCCTTCAGAAAACTATGCGAAGAGGGCACATTTTGTTTCGTAAAATGAAAAGAATTTACGCTTTAATCCACCAAACACACCTTTTCTTAGAATAAACGAAAGCCAATTAAAATAATCATTTAATCGTCTTTTTTTCCCTTTCTTGTACCAAACTCGAGTGATTAAATGAACGCGTGAATCATAACACTTAAATATTGGCTCTTATCGAAGTGTGCTGGCCCACTTTTCATTTTGTAAAACTACCTGTAACTTTTCTTATAAAAGGTAAAAAAAGCGACACAAAATTATCTTATTTCTGAAGAAGTTTTTCTGAAGAAAATTCCGACTTTTCTCGATTCTAAAAGTTCATTGTTGTGTTTTTGTTTTGCCCTACATCATGCAGTGTCATTCTTCAATTATGTTGTTGTTAAACTATTGAATAATGAGATTAAACAAGAAAATACGATAATGTTAGCTTTCCGGTTAATTGTTTTGTTTCCTTTGATTGATTCAAAACTATTTTCTTTCTGATGCTTCTATGCTATTTAGCCAAACACTCGAGCCACTCGGCCAGTTGAAGAATCTGATGCTCTTTCAAGTGTTCACTCGGCTTCTCTGTGTGCTAGGCGTCTTCTCAACAAATTTTAGGTCAGCTTGGCATTAGAAATTATCATATTTAGCATTTGTTTTGTGCTTCGTTGTGAACTGATCAACTGATCGGCCCTAAAAATTTTCAATGCACTATGTAGAGTCAAAGGCTCAAGCACTATTTGTTCTCCATAAATTTGACGATTCGGGGTTGTATTCGAGACTTGTGACATAAGAGTCCGATTCAATTTTGAGCCAAATTCTAGGAGATAACCGAAAGTGTTTTCCTGTTTCCGCATTGGCCACACCTTATCGTTATCTGATTTGAAAAAGCCATTTTTGCGCGTTAGGAAACACGATAAAAAGTTTACATCATAGAAGTTCTCCATAGAAAAAAATGACATCACTTTGCAACCACCCCATTTTTCAGCAACTTTTTAACAAAAATGGCATCCCATCGAAAATCATATTTGAAATAGTATTTATAATTATAATTGAAGACAGGAACCGGAGAAAACCTGTGCATCAAGTTCAATTTTTTGAAAAAACAACATTTATTGAAAAAACGCTTCCGGCAAGTGGCCATAATTTTACGATCAGTTGTGAAATTAACAAAAAACAAGTGAACTAAACTTTCAAAATAACAAATCAATCATCAATTGGGCCTCCCGAACGCTGAATCATTTGCAAAACTCTGTTGCCCATGCTTAAAACGAGGTTGTCGATGGGTTTTTGATCCGCAGTGTGCCAAGCTGCAACAATCGCTTTTTTTGAGTGAATTCACGTCTACATAGGTCCAATTATTAGCTTAAAAATCCCGATAAAAAGTTTACATCGTAATGGTTCTCCATTGAAAAATTTATGTTAACGACCTCTTTTTTACATTTTTCCCGTAGCAAACGTATTTTATGTCTATTGTTTCGGAGAAATATTTGTTTAGAATAAATTTCACCGTTTAACATAACCCCTTATCTTGGAGAGTCGTTGGGGGAAAAGACATAAAAGGGCAGCTTATCGGGGTGTGCCCACCTCCACTCGTAGGCAAATAAATTCTAAGCCACTATTTTTTCTCTCACTCCTAAATGCAAAATCTTGCCGTTTTTGCTTTGCCGGCCCGCGTTAGAACGTGCGTTTTTCAAGAGCTTCTGGACCCATTTTTTTGCGAGAGGAGAAAAGTTTGAACCAATTTTAGATCAAAATATTTTTATTTTATAGTTATCTAGGGCTAATAAAATTGATTCACGTTCTAGTTTTCCTCCATGCACATCACTTTTGACAAAAGATTTTGGAATTAAGTTATTATTGCAGAATTGCTGCCAGAATGTCTACGTTGTCCACATCACTCACGGATGCTTTCAATGCGTCGGGTCTTGTCCCATCAGTCGTCGCAAAGACTCCCCAGAAACTCTTACAGGTGATTAAAAAGGCTAGATGTCTCGACGCTAGATGTTACAATAATAATATACCATATTTTAAGACATATTCACATATTAGCAGACCGATTTCCACTAAAATCGGCTTCGGAACAGTTTTGGGTGCTCGCCTTTGCGCCTTTGAAAATCCACAAAAGCAACTACATCCAAGAACTTCTCAAAAGCCACTTTGCAGAGAAATGGCTTTTTAGATTAATCTTTTTAGTTTAAATAGAAATTTTGTTGATGACGGCATGATTTTTAAAAGACGTTTGGAAAAAATTGTAAAGACTTAAGCACCAACCTAATACCTGTTAAAGGGTCTTTTTAAGGTGTCATATGGAGGCAAAAGCGTCGCTCTGGGCAATGAGTTGACAACAGATGATGTTGCCAATGCACCTACTGAAATCAGCTTCGATGCTGACTCGAAGAAGCTGTACACGGTGCTCTTGACAGGTTAGGGTAACTATGTAAATTTTAAAAATAAAACTTTAAAGTCAGCTTACTGAATAACTTTCGACAAGATAAACTTTTACACTTTAAGATCCTGACGCACCGTCTCGTGAAAATCCACAGTATGGCCCTTGGCGTCATTTTGTGCGGGTAAACGCAAATGGCACAGAGTTGAACACCTCGGGAGATGTGATCACTCCTTACATTGGCGCCAAGCCTCCATCAGATACTGGTAGGGATTCATATTTGAATCCTCATTAAAAAAACCCTATGAACCTATGTCTAGGTTTCCACCGCTACGTATGGCTGGCCTATGAGCAGCGGAACGGGACAATCAATCCGCCAGAGGTTATCGATTTTCCGGCACGACGTAACTGGCAACTAAATGAGTGGTTGGCGGAGAATGGACTGGAGGGGCCAGTGGCCGGAAATTTCTTTGAGGTAACTGATAGATCATGCGCATCACTGAAAATTTCTTTTCAGGCACGAAACGACACCGATCGGACGAATAACGTCGGCACCTCATCCCTCAAAATGGCACTGCTGGCAACGGTCGTAGCGATTACGCATCTCTGAAAGTACAAAGATACTGGAATTGATTTATTATTTGTTTTTTTTTAATATAAATCATTCAAGCCAACGCAGAACCTACTCCTCAAATAATGTTTGAAAAGACTTTCATCAGAAAAGAAATTCCAATATCAAAGACAAACATCAGTTTGAACTTTTACGTTTCCAAGTCAGCTTTTTAACCCAATTTTTAATAGTTAAATTGTAATTGGGAAAAAGGTAAATTGTGAAATCAAATTGAGAAAACGAAAAAATGAGCTTAAAAAAAATTGATTGAGCTTACTAAGGAAAAGGCTTGAGCTAGCAATGAGCTTTTTGGCAATTACTAAAGTTCGGGTTCGGGTGGTTGTTTTAGAAGTCAAAGACGTCCGTCATTTGGCAATTTTTTGAAACTAGATATGACGAGGACATTTGCAGCTTATTCCACGCACGCTACAAGAAAGTTGGAAGCGGCACCACGAATTTAAAGGATTGAACTTGAAACAAATGAAAAGAAAACAACAAATTTCACAGCTTAAAATGGGCAAAAAGTCTGCGCGAAGATATTCCGTTGAACACGGAGAGGCTGCTGAATTTTCGGGACGATATAAAATGGAAACGTAATTTGAAAACAATTTTTTCCTAACTTTTAGTGGCTATTACGGTTTATACTTGAAGCACGATAGTAAACGTATGTTTCAAAATCCCTAGTACTTTTTCATCGAGGCTTCATCGTATATGTGTTACGTCCTATCTAGAAAGCCATCCGATCTTTCCGTTCTAGACTGATTCTAGATAGGACGTTCGATCTAAAGTTAAGTAAAGTCAAACGTCCGATCTAGAATGAAGCCGATCACTCTAATGCAGACGTCCGATCCAGACTTAGATTTAGAGTGATCGGCTTCATTCTAGATCGAATGTAACATATGCCTCAAATCGAATTGAAGGCCCTTCCCGCATTAGTAACATACTTCCTCTAATAGTAGTGCACCCCGCCGAGCTGAGTTGATGACTATTTTACGGTTTCCAAGTTTCCACAGAAGCTCAACTCTCTAATCCCCCACAAGATCTCATCGTCAGCTACATTTTCCGACCCCATATCGAGAAGTTATGATAAGCGGTTTTCGAGATGTCGAGTAATTTAGGGGCGACGCTCAGAGTGCATTACTCTTAGAGAGAATAAGGTAAGTGAAATTTTAACTCGTATTTTTGTAAAACTTCCGATTTCGAATTCTCTGAAATTCTCGGTTAGTCGGATTATAAGAATCGAGCAGTCATTGAGCAAATGCCCTGCTCCTTTCATTCCTTTGAAAAGATAACAAAATTTCAAATGGTTTTCTTGCTAAACTTTCGTTATCACTTTATTAATAAACGTATTCTTGCTAAACCTTTGTTTTCGCTATCAGGGCGCTATCCGCAAAAAAGGTTACTATTACATTTTGTGCACTTTCACCCTTTCGCTTATCTCTGAGTGTACACGTCGACATAAAGACATCATATTTAAACATTTATCGTAAACGCAACACATAGGCTTAAGATAATTTGTGAATTTTTTAGGATAACCTGGGGAGACCAAGCGCCACAGAGAATTCATATAAAAATGGGATCGCGATTTCTGATCTGCCCTCAGTGCATTGGTAGTCCTTCTCATCGGTAATGTCAAATACATTTCGGCGATTTGTTTCTGGAGCCGTTCAGACGGCGATTTGGAAGAGCGATCCCTCAACTACGCAAGCTCAAATCGTACCTCAATCCGAAGCTCTCCCGCTCGTATTCAGGAGTCTCTTCTATGTGAAAAAAACGAAGGTAAGATTACAGAAAATTTTGACATCATTTTAGAGAAAATTTCAGGTTCTCGAGTCGCACAAATGGCTCACCGTGCCAGCGGATGCATTCATCCTCGACTTGGAGGACTCAGTCGCGGCGGGGGACAAGGCAAGAGTGAGACGAGAGATTCAATCCGTTCTCCCCACACTCCCCGGTCCGCAAAAAGTGTGTAAGATTAGCATTTTTGTGAAATTTGTGGTTTTAGGTGTTGATACGCCTCAACAATCCTTCAAACTCTCCAAGAGATTGGGTGGAAGATCTGCGGACGGCGCATCCAAGACTTCTCGGTTTCATCGTGCCTAAGGTTCAAACTAACTTTTGAATAATTAGAATAGTGGGGACGTGGGTGACATGCTTGCATGCTTGCAAATTCAAATCAAACCGGGAAATGAATGCTTTTAGGCGTCGGTAGAAGACGTCGTCGCCTGCGACCATGCACTCGATGCAGTAGAGTCCGAGAGGGGACTCGAGAGCCGCTCTCTCAAACTTTTCCCTATGCTTGAGAATGCGAGAGGTGATGTTTGATCAGTTTTCATTTAAAGGCTACTCTACTATGTAGGTCTCCCTTATACCCATTAGACATGGAAAAATGCCAACTCGAGCCTAATTTCACCTTCGTTTTCTCGGTCGATTGCTCGATTCCGATTGTTTCTTGGCCGATTGTTCTGAAATTTTGTTTACAAATAGAAATTAAATCTCTACTTGTAGACAAAATTTCAGCCACAATCGGTCAAAAGGCCGAGAAAACGAAAATGAAATTAGGCTCGGGTTGGCATTTTTCCATGTCTACTACCCACTATTCAGGCATCGAAGACGCTGCCTGCATCGCGAGAGCGTCAAGGAGAAATGCGGCACTAATGCTTGGTCGCTATGATCTGCAACGCTCTCTCGGCTGCTCCCAGGAATCGCCCGTGCTTGAGCTCGCCTATCAAGAGGTACAACTAATAAGATTCAATCAAATTCGAACATCCCTCAGGTGGTTTTGGCGGCTCGAGGTGCGGGACTTTTGGCGATAGGAAGTGTGAATTGCGATCTCAAAAACCACAATCTTTATGAGGAGGAGTGTCGACGATACTTTGAGGTCCTTAAAATGTTTTTTTTTTACTTCAGAAGAAATGAGTGTAAAAGCTGTTTATGCTAAGAAAGATCAAAGTTATTCGTAGAGCATGGTCAACCAGCAAGTGTAGTGTTGAAAAAGCAAAAATTTTCAGTGGTAAAGAAGTTTCCCCTAAAAGGATACTGGATCTAATGCTTCCAGAGTCAAAACTCTGGAAGTAAATCTGATGCACCCTAGACGAGGCAGGGTGTAATACAAATATCATTCCAAAGAAATGAATGCGGGTACCTAAAAGGCAGATGAGAAAAAAAGAAATGGTATTGCCTAGTTTCAAGGACCTACTCTGGAGCAGGGTTGTTGGGGGCGGACATTTATTCTAAACATCTATCATTTAGACTGGCTTCTCAGGACGCTCTGTTCTGACATCAGCACAAGCAGTGATTGCTAATCGCGAGTTCACCGTTGCTGATGACACGAGTAATGTTTCTGAAGCCGCCAAGTTCCTAGCCAATGGAAACACGCTGCAAGTAACGTCTTTCGATTAGACATGGGCGATCGGACCGTTTCGGGTCGGGTGGGGTCGTTTCAGGCCACGTCGGGTCGACCCAACCCAAAAAATTTGAGTTTCGGATCGACCTGACCAAAAACCCATATCTGCTTTTGATAGATAGTAAGGATAGTAATTTGATATTAAGGATAATTCAATAGATATGGCAACATATTTTCTTTTATCACCCTTAAAAACATTGTCTAGGACATTTGGAACACGAAGTTTTCGGTGTTTGCAAGGGAATTATTTATGGAATAAGTTATCGCATTAAGCGTTTACATACTTTTTTATTTTAAACTACCAAAACTACATCTAATGATAAGCTTTGGCTCTTCAGGTGACCCAAAAGAAGTCGTTGTTTGGCCCACCACACTTGAAACGTGCAAAAGATCTACGCGCCATTTTCGAGGCTCAAGCCTCTTTTGATCGACTAAAAGTAAGACTGGTTCAAGTTTTTAGTAAAGAAGTATTCAGTCAAGCGACGCAAAGGCGAAAACAACACATCCAATCCTGTTGAGTCCTCGCGAGGGTGTGGACATTCGCGTCGGGAAATGGAAACATTCACCATTCTGCGCTTCTTTCACTGAAGGACTTCTATCAATTTGGGAGCAAAACTTCATCGCTAATTCCACTTTGACTTCGCCGCTGCACATTGATAAGGTAAAATTTCTACAGAGATTATTTAATAAATTTCTGTATTTCTGTGAAGGTTTGGGGACTTGGCGAGACAGCCCATGTGCCATTCTCTCTCCTCTTCAACATGGCCATGTCGCTCTCTGTCATCGTCTTTTCCTACCCGGCCAAGGTCCGTAAAAAGCACAATTTCATGATCGATTTTTAGGCCAAAATTTTAATTATAAGAATCAAACAAAACGATCATTGCTTTAAAAAAAGAATGATTTCATTTTGAAAAACGAAAGTTTGTAGTTGGGTGGGAAATGTTTTGAAAGACGGAGAATGTCAAAAGTAAAGGATGAGGGCAAAAAGTGTGAATTTCTTTTGTGAAGTCTTTTCAACTTTTCAACTTCTTTTACGAACATAAAAATTGTTTGGGTTTTAGGCACATTTGGAGCTTGTGGCAACTCGACAGGTGCGACCGATCAAAGTTGGCGAGAAGCTGGGCAACCGTGTTCGTCTGCTCTCCGTCGAAAATAAGCCTAATCTCGGGCAGATTGCCGTTAGGTGAGTTGCCCAGAAAGAATAAGTTTTTTTCCAGATTTTTTCGTACAATGCAAAAATGTGTTGCCTGAAACTTTAGTGAGCATCAATTGATCGATTCCTCCGACACACCAGTATTCACCGTCATCAAGAAGACACTTTTCCCCGAAAACACTTTTGCTGAAGCCGAAAGTATTGTGATATCTGAGGCGTCATTGGTGAACCCACTTGAAAGCGAAATTGACGACGCTAGTCCTTCTGTCAGTCTTGTTCCCTCAAAACCGCTAAACGAAAGAGAGGTTTGTGATGAAGAAACATTCAGTAAAAACAGGATGGCTGAAAAGTCCTGGCGGCATGGAAAAAAACGCCCCCAAAGGCGAATTCCTCTCTCGTAGAAAATTTTCGACTTTTTGAGGTTGTCTTCGTTTTGAAAATGCACTCCATCCAGGGAATGTTGCATTGATCGGAAAAGATGATAATCCGATGGGACTGGAGAATAAGGAGGGTGAGGTAAGACTTCCGAGCCCCGTCTGTGGATTGTGGCGCGAGTCAGTTTTGCCCTATGTGGGGGGGGTTTACAGCTTGACAGCTGTAACTCCATGCCCTACCCATTGACGCTTTCTTTGAAAGTTTGTGGTGAGAATCCACTTCGCGTCTCCTATCACTACGCGCGACAAAAAAAGATTTCCGAACGATGTCTCGAAAGAAGCGCAGCTGAAATTGATGGTCGCTGCCCTTTCATGGGGTCCGTAAGGGTATGAGGTACTCATTGACCAAAAATTGACTTAAAACCCGGCTCATTAAAGTGTCTTGTTGAATGTGAGTGCCGAATCGCATACGCTATTTCACAAGTACAAACCCGAGGGTTGTCTTGCATTATTCGAAGAATCTCTCCATTTTTCAATTGAGAAAGCTTCCCGCACGTTCTTCGTCTTCAAGGGAATTCTCACCATTTCTGAACTTGGCAAGCCAACGTTAAATTGTGTTTTGAGATGGAGCGTCATTGCCATATCAGCCAGTCTAATATTTCCAATCTCGATTTGGAAGCCCTTTCCCCGTCCCACAGAACTTTTCAGTCACCCTCTAATTTTGTTCATTTAAAAAATCTATTTGTCTTATTCTAGCTTTATGTGCACGAGTTGGTGAAAGCTTTTGGGCCTCACGATGCCGTCACATTGTCCTACCTTTTGAAAGGCGTCAATCCACTCCATGTAAACTCGCACCAGGTGAGCTTTCGTGCTTGTTATTTAAAGTCACTGTTTTATCCACCTCCGTCATTCCACTATTTTTTCAAAAAATTCTTTAGTTCTCAAAAACAGAACTCTTGCTGTCGGGTCCTTGTGTGGTGGCCGGCGTCATAGCAAACACCGCTCTTGACTTTGGGGACGTGCTTTCCGATCAGGTTCCATCCAATGAAACCAACTTATAAAACAATTTTAGCTTCTCTCCGTGACTCAACTCAACAAAACGAACAATGGGGACGTGATCAGCACAGTCTCAAAAGTCGTCCGAGTGGAGGATGTTGGAAAAGGTAGTAGAAATTCATGAAAAGTAAAGATTTGAGTTTTCAGACAAAGAAAAAGTGACACTGAGGATTCTTGGAATGAGAAATATGTCTCCGACGCAACTAGCCGCAACGCCACTGCCCGACGAGCTTTTTGATGAGGAAATGAGACCGGCGCAAGCCGAAAAGGTGAATCTCTTGAAAAACTAAGCTCAATTTAAAAAGATTCAGATTTGCGAGGCTCGATGCCCTTCGCTTTTCCACAGAATCGTCGTGCACGGGACGAGGACGTTCTTGAGGATCAAACCATTGTAAACTGATCTCAAGGCTTGCGTCCAATAATAAATATTTTGATCTTGTGCTTTCATTGTGCACCAACCTCCGAATCATTATCCAAAAAAGCAGGTTCTAAATTAAAAAAAAGAAAGTTATCCGTTTTCATAGCGAGAAAGCCAGTCGAAAAGGATGAAGCATTCATCTTTTTTTCGCGATCTCTTTACTGTGAAAAAGAAATAGAATTGTGCTTCAACATAGAGCAAATTTTAGTGATTTTAGAAATCATTTGAAGCTAAACAACATAGATTTTGATTTTAGAAATTATAATGCAAAATAAAACAAAAGCTCTTTTAAAAATTACAAATCGATTGTTGCTTAACGAAGATTGGTCTTAATCTACCGCGTTTCTACAAAAAATGATCCGTCTAATTCACAAAACTAATTAGATTTTTGAAAACTACATAACATTTTGGATATAATTGCAAAATTTTCAGACCGATTGGTTTGACCGTTCTTCTAAAACAGCGGAACAGACAGACACACACAGACACACACAGACACACATACTCTCTCGCTTATAATATGTAGGAATGTTGGCCTGCGCATTTAAGATAACTACATCACATCTAAGAAATTCAAATCCAACTTTTTTGAGCAATCAAATCAAATCAAAACTCGCTAAATGAAAGGATTTTACAGGGTCTGGCAGAATTATGGAAACGCAAGTTATTGAGCCTAACTCAGTTCTCGATGCCTCAAATCAAATACCGTAAATACTCTAATAGAAGCGCACTCCAGTGGAAGAGAGGAAAAATAGAAGCGCACCTCTAATCGAAGCACATCCTTTGACTGAATATCGGGGGTGGTTACTTTCCGCAAAAATTTTTTTGGGCAGCCGGGTCATTTGCGCAACTTTTCATCACATGTTCACCGAAAATTTTTAGCACATTTTCAACGAAGGTCTTTCTTACAACTTTTTTTCAAAACACTTGTAAAAAACTATTTTGTAAAAAACTTGGTAAGTTCCGTAGGCTATCATACTATCCGCGAGACCAACGAAGCTGTTGACGGGTTTCTTTGTGGTGACCCCATGAAAAGTCCGAAATTTAAGGGAATTTTCTATGCCAGATTCCTTGCGATTGCATGGGTGTTTGCAAATGTTTTTTACAGATTCGGAATCAACATAACTGATTCTATGAGATGCACTCGGTCACGAAGCGATTCTGACCTGGTGTCATTCCTTTGTAAGTGCTTTTCAGCAACTGTCGATTTCCGATGCGAAATGGTACTCGGCATCAAATCAGGTTAATAGAAATACCACAAGCTCTTCATTCATTTTTATATGCAGAGAATCTCTTTCGGCAAATCTCCTATCCATAGCTCGTCTCGTCGTACTTTGTTCGCCTTGTCGTGCGGCCAATGAGACACTTTCTGAATGAGATTGAGATCAACGAGATAAATGCTCATTAGACGCAAGGTGTTTAAATGGAATCCACGGCTCTTCCGTAGTTTCCGGGTCTTTTGAAAGAATACGGGTATTTTGAACGGGTCATCACGCTTTGAAGGTTTATAACTTTGTCCAGAGATAGTATTTTTGTTAACTTTTTATTTCATTGTATAGAGGACATTTCAGGCTTTTAAATAATACCAAATAGAGCCTGACTCAATTTTTCATTCCCATTCAAACAACATACGACACCCGAGTTAGATAGGCCTCATTTGCGCAGAGTTGGCTGTGATTTTCTTGGATGGACTGGATTAATCAAGCTCTATCTGATTGAAAGACTGAAATGTCCTCTGTACAATGATATAAAAAGTTAACAAAAATATTATCTCTGGACAAAGTTATAGACCTTCAAAACTTGGCGATCCGTTCAAAATACCCGTATTCTTTCAAAAGACCCGGAAACTACGCAAGAGCCGAATCCAATAATCAAAACAAAACCGATTTGAACAATTTTTTTTGGATAGGCTTTCGATCCGAAAACCACTTTTCAGCTTTCAGATAGATAATGCTGGATTCAGCCGAAATTTTGATTTGCTGATTTCGGAAATGTTCGGATCCGATAATCAAATTCGAAATCGGATCCGGAAACCATGTCTAACACTCACGCTTTCCCATTGTGGAAACTCTTGCAGAGCATTATAGGTCAAGATATTCAGCATACTTTGATCGTATCTGAATTCATTAGTTGAATAGTTTCACTGATGTCTTACTGATGACATGAGCTGATTCCTCGAGTAACATTGCAACGTCGCTCAAGCGGATCGATGCATTCTTTGGTGAACGCACACAGAATGGCCCTGAAATTGTAGATGGTTGATCTCCTCGGGTTGATTCTTGCCATTTTAAGATTTCGGCACTGTAAGGATCTTGACGAATCAGCACCGATCCGGCCTCGAATTGGCGACGATTGTTGAGAGTCTTGACAATATCCAAATAGGCGTACATTCCTGAAACAGAGACCTGGCAATCGTTGATATTTGTGGTCGATGATTGGGAACGTTTTTGAAAACAGAACCTAACCGCCTCAACAGAGAAACAATATTGACCAATACGTTCATTTAAACCCAACAGATTACTTAAAACTGATAGATTACCTAATACATAGATTACTTAGATCACTTCCTCTTAGACTACCAAAACAACGATTTGTTCGGCTGCTAGGCTCTCTTTGGTATGCTATGTTTTATAAATCAAAAAAGTCGGTTTGAAGAGGATGAGGTCTATGCTTTCAATACCCACCAAAATGAGTCAATTCGGAGTTCGAGCGATTCGTCGGATGTGTCATTGCAAAGGGGTGAATCTGAAGGGTCGCACGCTTTATCCAGGGTGACCGCAAAGCAAAAACATCTGGGAAATGTCTAGTTTATTTCAAAAGTGGCAAGTGTTATATAGAGAATTGTAGCCCTAATTCTCTGTAACATTTATCTACCAAAAACTTCCTGATTTGACTCATACAATTCATTTAACAAGCGCTTAAATGAGCGCTAGACGACATCTCTTCAGCGAATATGTCATTTGGCCGCTCTTCAGACTTTGCCTGATACTCTTCCAAAAAGTTGTCGCTATGCTTTGCGGTCACCCTGTATTCATAAGGATCGAGGTAATGGACTCTGAGGCTGAGTGACTTGGAAGTTCATACCTCTTTTTTTGCTGATGCTCGCAAAAACGAGAGAAAGTCAGCTGGCACAGTTGGTCTCAAACTTGTGTCCATGATGAAAAAGAATGGGAACTCGAGGTAGCTTTCCTGCAATACTAGTGATTTCGCTAAAACTAGAGAATAAACATGGGAAAATATCAGGTCTGAGTGGAACAGATTGTGATTGACCTATTCTGCTCGGTAAAATTTCCAATTCACGCTGAACTGACAAGGGAAGTGCTCCAACTTAAGGCGAGCTTTTGGATCGAGACCCAGACCGTTCGTTGCAGAATTTCACGCTGATTCCGAATCTGTTTTCCGTTTTTGCAAAATGGCTCTCTATCAAAAGTTAAAAACATTTTAAATTTGTAGCCAAAAAAATGAATTTTCCTGGGATTCCCTCATAAGGCTTCTTCAGTGCCAGCCAAATGCGGGTTGGCGGCGCCATGGCTAGAGGGCTTTTATACGAAACGATTACTTCATTTTTTGCTTGAGTTCAATTTCATCCTTTTTTTTTGTTTTATTTTGATGCTTCAACAATTTGTTTATTTTTATAGAAGCTGTTTTATATTTTATTTATATTTTATAGAAACGGTCCACATTTGGCTGGCACTGAAGAAGCTTTATGAGGGAATCCCATTTTGGCCAGGAAAATTTCATTTTTTGGCTACAAATTTGAAATGTTTGTAACTTTTGATAGAGAGCCATTTTGCAAAAACGGAAAGCAGATTGCATGAAAGTATGCATCAAATCGTCTGGGTCTCGATCCTTAAGTTAGTGCACTTCCCTTGTGAGAAAACAGTCTCACCCTCATGACTGCGATTTTGAAAGCATAGTTTCGAAAATTCTTCACATGAGGTGGGTACTTATCAAAATCCAGTCTCCTCACTGTTACATTGCAAAGTGTTTGAAGCTCTTTCATCTGAATGTTAAAGATTTAGCTGTCTCATTCTCATAGAAACCTGCGTGTCTTGTAATCCCATCGAGAAGAAAACGATGCGAACAGTCGGCTGAGATCTTCTCCACGTGATAAGCATCATTTTCACCTCATCAAAATGATTTTCGGATGCATAAGTGACGATTGTCAGTTTTTCGAGCAATTCTCGATCTGACGCTTTTTCGATCGATAAATTGCTGTTCTCAGGCAAATCGGCTATATATTTCTCAAGGGAACTCGAAAATGGTAATCCATCGAGACGGATTGTTTTGCTTCCAATTCTGCCGAGTGGACGATAGCAAAACTGGGAGGAAAATGAGCGATCAACAAAGTGTTCTTACTTTTTTGCCATTGAAAACGCATGGATTCTCAACGATTAAACCCGAAGCATTTGTCGTCTCAAAGAAGATAGATAGGCAGACAAAAAAAATGAATCTCACGACAAATCTCCCGGGACCCCATTCGGCTAATGCCTAAAAAGACGTTTTTATTATCAATCTGTGCTTTTTTATGTAAACACCGTCAAAAACTAAAGTTGCTAAAGTATAAAAGAGAAATAGGCAAACCTGTATAGCCTCTTTATACGGCGGATGTTTTATCGAAGTTTTTACAAAGCAAAAAAACTTTCACTGCAGTGTGCAGCAAAATTATTGGACGGATGCTTATTGATGAGTTAAAAGAAGAAAATGAAGAGAGTACTCCGAGTGTTATAGATCATTTGAAAGCTACTTTTAAGTCACTTGTTTTAGCTTTTTTTGGGTTTTGATGGCCAAAAACACCGAAGAAGTGTTAAGAGAGATAATAAAGAAAATAAAAAAAAGAAGTCAACAAACAAGTTCAAAGATACAGATGTTCCGAACCGACCTTAGCTCCATCAAGCTTCTTTTCGAGGGTTTTTTGATAACTTGTGGCTAGAGAGTCCATCGATGGGTGATTAATTGAGGGGAAGAAACTTTCGAGTACCACGATCCTAACAAATGAAGGTTTGCAAGTTTCTTGCTTTTCTCTCATTTTCAATTTCATTTCTTTCTGCTCTCTCGCTTGCCTTATGTCGAGTTTTAAATTACCCCGACGAAACACCAAAACGATCATTTGGTTTCCCGGAAATGAAAGGAAACTATTGATTGATTTTACGCATACGTGTTAAAATATCCATGATGGTCAAAAATGACGAAAAGCCCGTAGCCTAGCCTATCTAAGACGTCTAATTATTTGGTCGTCTAAGCCATCGAATATCTTCATGCTTGAAAATTATATTGGATCTTTTCGTAGAAAGAGGCTATCCAGCCGTCGTCAAGCAAAAAACATATTTGTGTGCTTTTCTTGGTTACGAATGCCGGAGAGGTAGGTGGAAATATGAAAGATCATTTAGTTGAACTAATTGACAATGAGAAAACACTGAACTACAAATGGCTCTGATGGATTTATCGCCTTTAACCGATACACAATCAACCCAATGGTTTATGTTCCACGAATATCAGCAAATTCAGTAAAACAGCCGAGTTTGTTGACGACTGGCCTGTGTGGAATTGTGGAAGTTTGTGTGGAAGGCTTTTGACGACCATTTGCTGTGTGGATCTATTGGCTTTGTGCTGAGCAGCGCAATTGGATGCTCACCGAGTTTATGCTTTCCGACCAATCGTTGTTGACCTAAAAGCAACTGGGTTTTAATTAGTCGTTTTTCGATCGCTCTCTGCAATTCGATATCTAGATTTCTTATAATCTACCTATAAATACTATCTAGATATCGAGATCTTATGATTTCCGACAATTTTTGTTCCCTTTTTCATATTGATATCATGAAGAGAGAGTTTGAAGTTCCTCCCATCGACGGTCCACAACCCTTTTCAACGCAAGTTAATGCTGACTGACACTAAACCGAACTAAACTTTGTCAAAGCAGAAATGCAAAGCATTTTTCTACAAAATAACATTGAATCTCTTATGTGTTATTTTTGATATTAAATATTTTCATTTCAATTTCTAGAAAATAGATTTTTCGCGTAGACTCAAAGTAAACGTATAAGTCGAAAAAAGTCTTCAAACCATACAACAAGCTAATCAAGGCTTTGTTTTTCGAATTGAGGAGATTTGCTTTTAGTTAATGAGATGGATATCAAAGGCTCAATTTCCATTGCATTGATAAACGAGAATGCAAACCAAATCAATGACGAATTAGTGGTGTAAGGAGACTGAAGTCAAAGCTTGAAAAATTTTACCTTTATGTCGCAAGAAATCTTGAAAAAGTAGCCATTGAAGTGGTCAAATCCCGATGTTCCGTTGTACACCTATTGACGATCAGACCAAAAATGAACAGCTCTAGTTTGGACCCGTAATCGGCAGCTTTGGGGATGCATCACGTCGCTAGTCGCTAGAAAAATGAACTCAAGTAAGGAGGCCTAAAACTTGTAACGTGATTCAGGTCTCGGGGGCAAAAATGAAAACGGATTCGAAATCAGCGTAGTCGATTCTATAAGATGGAGTCGGTTCCGTTTTAAAAGGTTACAAGAACCTGGAGACGTTTCCTAATTAGAGTGAAATTCTCTACCTCCGGTGCCGCCGTCTCCACCATACTAATAGGATGCTACGTAATCTTTTAACCTGTTAGCCAACTCTTGCGGTGATCTCGTGACCCTCATTTCGAGTAAAAATTGCTGTTTTCGTTTTGTCGAGCCAAGATCAACAAATCACACCAAAGTGTTTTCCAGAAAGAAAAAAGTCGAAAGATCATGTCGTGTTTTGCCGAGTGCTTGTGGCTAATTGTTTTTTTTTCAAAAGGAAACGACATTTCCTGAATTGGTAAACTATTACAAAAGCTTCTGACTATTTTTTTGAACTCTCCAGATGATTTTTTCGAAAAGGTTGAGACTTTTCGTGGAGATGTTCTGCAAAGAGTACAACGATTTTGCTCACCGTGCTGCTTCTGATGGTTTCTCTTCTGGGTAGGTTGAAGAGTTAGTTCGTTACGAAACGTTTCGATATCCTGGGAGTAATGGGACTATCCAGAAACGTCGCAAATTAAAAACCAACAAACAAGTTTTCGAGAATGCTTGGTGATGCGTCCTAGAAACCAGAAATGTATGTTCATGAATTTTGTATGAACGTTGTGCTTTCTTTAGTCACTTCTTGCCCTGTGAATTGGTTATCTGATCTGACACTCAAATGGTCAGGACGACATCCGGATATTGGTTCTCGTATGGAGTTTAAAATCGAAAACATCAAGTTAAAGATTCAAGTGGTGGTGAGTCGGGTTCAGAATACGGTGTGGCTCAATTCCTTCGAGCTTAAACTTGAACGTTTTGCACGAAAATGGTCATACCATAACTCATAACTAATGCATGAGCCAGGTCTGGGCCCTCAGCATTGTGACCACATTTTTGGCTGCTCTCTTCTCGGCCCGTTGCAATCGATTGGCTCTCCCAGTGCGTTTAGTGATGGTGGTTTATTTTTCGGAAATACTGACAGTCCCTTAGCCCGCTACTTGTGGCGGAGAATTTGCACAAATTCGTCTACACGCTTTTCCAATCCATTGGTAGTCTCTGTAACATGAGACATCCGATTATCATGTGAGTGTTTTTCTATCTAAATTAAAGTTTTATATGTAGCCTTTTGATTTTACAAGCGATTTTAACCACAAAATCAACATATGGCCAAAAGTGTTTTTTTTGGTTTTTTTGATTGATTGATCGAAATTGATTTTTTTTGGCTAAGACTGGTCAGCTAACATGACATCTCTAGCCTATGCAGGTCATAACTTTTGAATTGACCCAAATAACTAGTACGAAACCGTACCAATTTATTGAAATTTTAGTACAAAAGTAGTAAAATTACTAGAAAAGTTCAAGTGAGGGTTTTTTCTATTTTTAGAAGTTAGAAATTGTTCCAAAAGATAGTTTAAGAGCTCTTTACGATGAGTTAGACGTATGAATGTTGCCCACTGAAGTCTTGTGATTTCTAGATGTTGGCAAACTCGGCCTTCTTCATCTACGACAGTATTGCCATCTCTTTGCTGCGCGTTATGGCCTTTCTCTTCTTCGGCCTCAACGTCTGGTTTGCCATCTCACCCATTTTCAATATAAATCAGGATTTTCTGTTCATCTTTCTCTCGAGGTAGCGTGGTAAGTTGTTATTGAAAAAGACGATTTCCAGCATTCTCACCGTGTTGTTTTTGCGAAAGAGGGAAGAACGGCGAACGTCGCTGGTTTGCGTCACCTCACAAAATCAATAAACCCAACGTTTCTTACATCTAAATCGGAATCTTGCATTCATTGTGTAAATAAGGGAAATTTCCACATCGAAATTTTACTATTACATTCATCTTCTGTCAATTGAAAACAATACGATTCGACAAGAAATGTCAAAAAATTTTTCAAGCTACATAAAAGCAATCTTCTATATATGTTACGAAATCCTAGAAATCCGTCCGTTTTAGACTGATTCTAGATTGGACGTCCGATCTAGAGTGAAGTGAGGTCAAACGTTCGATCTAGAATCAAGCCGATCACTCTAAATCTAAGTCTGGATCGGACTCTGATTTAGAGTGATCGGCTTGATTCTAGCTCGAATGTTTGAACTCACTTCACTCTAGATCGGACGTAGCATATATAAAAGAGCAGTGTCTGTCTGTCTGTCTGTCTGCTTGTCTATTTATCTGTACGGGCATTTTCTCGACTGTGTTTTGACCAATAAAGCTAAAACTTTTTTAGAAAACCTTAGAATATATTGTCGTTGTGCATTTAGAAAAATTTTCTAAAAATCAAAGTTGGGTCCCCGTGGACCGTAGACAAGCACGCTCCCGACTGCGCCACGGCGACAAAACCGACGGGTCAAGAAAAACCCACTGTTAGGCGGGTTTTTCGGCTGGCATGTGAAATAAATGTCAGATGTAGGCGAAGAAAGCCTTTTTTTTGGGCATAAGTAAGTGAACAAATGACTCGACTCGACGAGTTATTCTTTTTTATTCTAATTGAGCTTGGGAAACATATAATGCTTCTCATGATCATCTGGAAATTAACTTTGTCGGCTAACATGTTTGGCCGACAAACTTAATTTTGTTCGTTTTTAGTAGAAAAGGATCATTTTAAAACTCACAGCTTTTTTCAACACATTTTTTCTTTTCAATCAAAAATAGATCCTCTCATCTCTTAATCATTTGACATTTCTCTTTTTTTCCCAAAAGGTCAAATAACAACCAAACTTTGGCGATTTCCCGTTCTCTCAAAGAAAGAGAATTCCAAAAAAGTACGAAAGTACCAAGAAATTGACATCATTTCAAAGCAGACCAGATTTTAAAAGTCAACATTTTTGTCTTAGTTTCGACTCTTCAAAGATTTGTTTTTGCCCTCGAAACGGTCACAATTTGGTGAATGACCGAAAAACAAAAACAGCGAAAAACCTTTATAAATCTAATGTTCTTCAAGAATTTAACTCACAACTAAAGTTTCTGATCTCACTCCTTCACTTCTTTTAACCTTTTGACGATGAATTCTCTGCTGTTCCTTCTGCTCTCGATTACCTTGGTGGCTACTGTGATTGGAGCCCCTTACTTTGGTGGATTCGGTGGTGGTGGGTTTTGCTTTAAAAACGAAAAATGCCTACTACTATCTAAAGGATAAATAATGGCACCTCTAAAATGAGATTTCTTAAATGTAAATGAATTGGCGGAAAGTTCACAAAGGATTGTAAAGTCAAAAGCTGGTTTATTCCAGTTCAAAATAGAACTTTCACTTTAAGGGCTTTGATGAGTTTGACAAACTGAGACAAGTTCCACCCAACTTACCAAATTCAAAAAGATTTGGTGAACTGCTTTACAAAACTAGCTCCAAATCGTTACCTTTCAATATGCAAGCACAGATTCACAGTTGTCATTCTGGTTTGAGCGGATTAAGAGCTCAGCAAATAAGCCCCTAATTACTTAACTTAAGCAGAAATACATTCAAAAGTAGGCACTTTTAAAATTTTCAGGCTTTGGCCACCACCACCATCATCACTTCTTTGGACCCGGCGGAGGATTCGGAGGACATGGCTTTGGTGGGGGACATGGCTTTGGTGGAGGGCATGGCTTCGGTGGCTTCGGTCATCATCATCACTTTGGATAATTGAATAAACAGAACAAATATTTGTGTACATAAATATTAAACACTCAAAAGCAAAACAAACAAAGCAACATCGAAACAATCCCTAGGCAGTCGCTTTTTGAGACACATAGAGATCTGGCGGCTCCATCCCCCGCCCCCCAAATCCCCGGTAGTCATAGTTTTGAGTTACCATACTGTACCATTTATAAACTGTCGATAAACTTATTGAACCCTGCCCATAAATAGTATTGGTTTCCTCAAGAATTTCTTGGGCTGGAACTTTTTTCTTGACAAAGAACAAAATGACATGCCGTAGATGAGCCTCGGGAAGCTCCCAAAGAAATAAAAAATAAAGCAAGAAATGGCGGTATTTCATTTGGGTTTGTGTATAGTCAATCAATGAGGCTTCATATAAACAAGATCACTTATCAGCGGCTACGTCGCGTGATCTTTATATCTTTATCTTCATACCGATAGGAATTTGAAAAATCTGATTTCGAATTCGGATTTCTCACCACCGAAAACTCCCGTGTACAATTTTTCAGCTAAATTGGACGGGTAAACCACAAAAAACACGTAGGGCTGACCGGTGAGCCGTATTGTTGCAAATCTATTAAAAAAATAATTTATTGGTTCAAAAATTAGCAGAAAAACATTTTTTAGGAGGCAGTGTTTTGTTTTTTCGAAACGCTTGAGATTGTGTCTTTCGGTCATTTGGGGTTTTTTTGTTGAGAGCAAGAAGACATATGTTAAACTGAATATAATATTGCAATAAATATGAAATAGTTGTCTACCTACTTTGACAAAATCGAGATCACACTTTGGAAAAACCTACTTTGTAATCGATTTTAACAAAATTCACTAAAAAAAGGCTTCAATTCAAAGTTACTTTAAATGAGTTTTTTTAAAGTTCAGAATAAGAGGTAAAAGCTAAGAAAACAGTGATCACTAGAAAGAATCTTGAACTTTTGTATGACTAACTAAAGAAACCAGTAGTTAGTTTTCACGCAATAATCATAACCTTTGCAATTCTTGGCAAACATCGAGATAATTACTTGAACGCTTTTACTCTTTGAACATCAAAAGTACGCAAAGAAAACGCATAATTTCCACGTTTACTCAACAGAGTTATGTGAAAACAAGTTAATTGTTAGCAATGAGCAATCCATTTTTTCAGTAATCTTTAGCTTTTCAAAGTCAACTTTACAACTTCAAAAGTTGTAAAATTCGACTTTCTAAATTTCATCAAAATTTACTGTAAGCTTTGAATCTTTAATGCATTCAACTGTGGCGACAAAATTTGTTCGCCTTTGGACTCAATATTTTGATATCATTGAAGTTTTAGGTGTACTCCTTGTTTTAACAGGTTTAAATTATCCAATTCCAAAACTTTGCAAGTTCTAGGTCTAAACATTCTATTTGAAGAATTCAACGACATTCAATGGGTCTTTTCGGATAATCCACCCGATATCAGCTTTGAAGTATCGATGTGGTTTTATGAAATTTGTGATTACACTTGGAAAGCGGTAGGAGATGGGAAATCTCAAGTTTGATAGATTCAGATCAGATCAGCATTTTTGGTGGCGACTAAAATCCCAAAGTATGACTGTTTTGTTTGTAAAGACCTGAAAAGTGAAATTAAGCTGGACTGGCTAGTGAACAGTTCTGTTTTTAACAAAAAACAAAAACGTGACTGCGTTCGGGGTTATTGTCAATCGATAATTTAGCGCTGAATAGTAAGCTCCAAGGAGAGTCAACGGAATGCTGAGAAACCAGGTCCAAACTTGCTATTGTTTCAAGAAAATTTTAGGAAATTTACAATAGAATCTTGCTACTAAGTCTGAAAAGAGATTTGGTTTGTCTCGAGGTTCAAAATGTCTGTGGTTTTGCTAAGGATTTGGTTGAACACTCCAACATTTTTGGACATTTCAACAATGTAAAAGCAAAAACGTGACTGCGTTCGGGGGGAATCGAACCCCCGTCGAATGCTTGGAAGGCATCCATGCTGACCATTACACCACGAACGCTCGATCTCCACCAATGCATTGGGGATAAAGAAAGCCGTCAGATTGAGCTTTCTTAAGGCAATCTGCAAACCGGATTTGTTTCTTTTCATCAGTCGAACATCCATCCTTTTGCCCTTCCCATTTCATCCTTCCCCACACGCGTTCGTGGTGTAATGGTCAGCATGGATGCCTTCCAAGCATTCGACGGGGGTTCGATTCCCCCCGAACGCAGTCACGTTTTTGCTTTTACATTGTTGAAATGTCCAAAAATGTTGGAGTGTTCAACCAAATCCTTAGCAAAACCACAGACATTTTGAACCTCGAGACAAACCAAATCTCTTTTCAGACTTAGTAGCAAGATTCTATTGTAAATTTCCTAAAATTTTCTTGAAACAATAGCAAGTTTAGACCTGGTTTCTCAGCATTCCGTTGACTCTCCTTGGAGCTTACTATTCAGCGCTAAATTATCGATTGACAATAAGAATAAGGTTAATTTTTAATAATTTCACATTTGTAGGTTAAATTTCCAATAATTTACATTCGATGCCCAAACTTGAACCTATTTCAGGTTATTTGCCACCGCAGAAAGCATCAACAAATTCGTGTTTGCTCTCGATTTTGTTCTACTCTCTTTCTGTGATCAATCGCTTTTTCCCATCAAGTGATTTTATTGTTTTTCACCCCAGAAACAAGTTGTTTTAAGATGCCCAAAAAGTCTCTTTGAAACATTTTCCGTTATTGATGGGATTATCACGGATTGTCGCTTGATCATGATAGCTAAAGGGTGTCAACTGATGATTTCGATAGCGTGAGTTGACTATGATGTTCAGGAAAATCTAAGAAGGGGATAAGCAGAAGTGACCGTGAGATTTTGGCACCAAAATGAGATGCAAACACCTATCGAATACGGCGAATACGGCGTGGTGCTTTCGGATTTTGCTAAGTAAGGATCGCTAGTTTTCGAGAAAAAAGGCTTTGTTTTTTTGGCGTCTACCCTAAAACGAGGCACGTTTCTTTAAAAGGACTTCTTTCGGGCAGACGATAATCTGTTCGAAGATCGTCACTAGGAAAGGAGTGTATTATCTGGAGAATCGAAATCGAATCTCACGGTCACTTCTGAACATTCCCTTGTAAGGTTAGGTAAAACCTCGTATCAGTTGAGCTACGGTAGATAAAAATGCTCAGCTGATAAGATTGATTTTCCTTTTAAAAGCTATTCAGACTACTGTAGCTACTTGCGTACACGGCAGTGAGATTGGTTGTGAGGTATCAACAAATTTTCAGTTTGAAAATGACTAATACAAGATTTTTCCTATTAAGTATCAAGTCTAGCAAGTTCAACATTAAAATTAAATATTTCCAGCAGATTCTTCGCTGTCTCATTTGACGGTTCATATTTCAATGCAACTCAAAAATTTCCACTCATCCAACTTCTTCTACCGTACATATTCTATCTCGGGGAAATGAAATTAGAACCTCTTTTAAATGATGAAATAATTGTTTTAATCGATATCTACTTTTTATCCTTGTTCCCACTTCTCATGTGTTCGCTAGATTTCGCAACAAGACGGAGAATTTTGTATTTTTGTAGAGCAATGTTAGAGCGATTTTGTAGAGCAATGTTAGACCTTTTTGATTTTAATTATACATTTGATATGGAGCTTTTATGCGTTTCAGGAAAATTTTTGAAAGTCGACGCCATCTCATACTCCCCAACCCAATAGATCATTTAAGAGTAAATCCCTGACTTCAGATGCTCCCCAATTCCTCTATCACTCTCCTCGAATACATTGTCAGCCAACTTCTTCTCACTCTAAGTCGATGGTTCTTTGGTCCAAACCTAATGCAATCATTCTACTCAATCATGGCTTTCAATGAGGCTTTCTTCTATATTTTTCTCAATAAGTTTAATTCTTTCTTGGATTTTTATATCAATTTTCAGTGTCGTTACAATTTTCTGCCTGAAAAAACGAAAAGATCGGCTAATGAAAAAGAAAGTGTTTGTCATCACAGCTACACTACACTTTGAAGCTCAATGTTCAGGGAGTATTTACTAATTTCTCTCCGGGGATTCGAAGAAAAATGTTCAAAACTATAAATTAAAAATGTAAGAAAAACTGATTCACTAACAGAACACTGATTCTTCGCAAACATTCGCAAACAAACGATACCAATCTCAAAAATCTTTAAAAATGGATGAATCTTGTCCGAATTTCTCAATGTATTCCTCAAATCCGTTAATAAAAATGATGTTTTGCTTTCAAATTCTCTTCGCCACAATGGGAATTATCTCGATTTTGTGCACGTTTCGACGAGCGTTTTCGTCGATTTTACTCGATTCTGGTTTCAAAGAACACCTCTTTTGCTGTTATTTCGTTCATTTGAGTCAAAGTCTGGCGATGATTTGTGGAGCAGTTTGTTGATTTGAATCCATTCTAAATTTCTAAAAGCATTAAAGTACCGTAGTAAAACTTTAAAAGAGGTAAGATTACGGTAAGGAAGTTGACAATGTGTAGAAAAGAAAGTAAGACAGAAAAACACTCCAATTCTCCCACTCAATCCAGGCAAGATTGTTGGGGCAACGACTCTAGTTCAATTTAAACTTTTAGCTTCAAACTGTTCAAGCCAGGCAGGGTTAGCTTAGAAAACGGACTAATGATAACCAAGTTTAGTCAATTTTGGTGAAATGTTCTTTTTTCTTCAACTAAAGTCGTATTTTAACTAACACTAGTCAGAGCTGGATCAAGATTTGACCTAAAAATCTTCTTCCAGACATTCTTCATCATTCTCTACTCAACCCAACCTCCATGTTCTGCAACGATTTCCTTTGCTTTTTGTTTTTATCTCCGAAGTTCGATCACTTTTTCCGTTTTCTCTCTGCCAATGCTTAATCTGACATTAACCGCTTTTCGAATTATCTCCTTTTATGGGGGATCTTTTGTGAAAAGAAGGGAAGCAATTATTCGAAGATTATTGACACTTTTTGCGGTTAGTTTTTAAGTGATAGATCTAATGAAATGATTTAGATAATCATTTCCTTTGCTGAATTCTGGTGGAGAATGTCGGTCATGGTTTTTCCGAACAAGCAAACAGCTTACTGTAAAAGTACAACTTCAAGAAATAATCTCGAATCTTTGATCACTGGAATGATGGAAGTGATCACGATTTTGTGCTCATTGTTACTCGTCTATTTGTATAAACGGGAAAATCGGTAAATTTGATGGAAATCCAGGCATTTTCAACCCTTTGAAGACCACTAACTTTATTTAGAGATAATATTATTGATAACTTTTTATGTAGTTTTAAAAAAACACTTCAGTTCCTCGAATGATATAATATAGAGCTTGATTGGATCACAGAGTCCTGAAAAAAAATCAAGAGACAAAACGTTAAAAAGTTGAGACCAATTAAATCCGAGTTTCAATTGGAAGACACAATAAAATGAATCAATTCCTCGACCTTGAAAACTCCCGGGTAGAAATTTACAACTAAATATCTTTTTTTGTGCCACCTACAAAGTGGCTTCCAAAAAGCACATATTTGGCCTGCCCAGTTCGTTGTTTTCTTGCAAGATTCCCACAAGACACACTGTTTTCTGTTTGTTTTCAAAGTTTACAATGTTTTCAACATATTCTTTTGTTCTAAAAACAACTCCAAGAAAGTTTTACTCAAGCTTTTTTTGTAATTTATAAGTCATATATCAATTTCCTTGAAAACTAGCCAAATTTCTAGCCAAAGTTCAGCTACAATGCTTGTAGTAAAAAAAAGTCCTTTAGTTGAAAAAGGACGCTCAGAAAGTTTGAAAAAATGATTTACCAATTCCCCAAGGACTTGCGAGTTCAACGATTTTTGAGGAAAAATCTCCAAAGATTCGGTCAATTTTTTTGGGTGAAATTTTATATTCTTTAATAATATGCATCAAAAGTCTAAAATGATTGCAAAAATGGAAAGTAAGAAGTTCATGAAGTTTAACTTTATGGTTATTGCTAAATACTAAAGTTACAGTAATCGATACTTTCCGGTTATGTCTGCCAAAATTTGTATTTTAGGTAAGTAAGGGCATCGTCGACGCAAAGAATAAACGACCGAATAGAAAGAAAAACGTAGATAGATACTTAGAAAGAAAAATAGAAAGAAATTAATTTTTCATTGCTAGTTGACAAGAAGACAAGACAAGAATACCAATTTTGTTTTAATGCAAATTTTGGGAGACATAACTGGATTGATTTATAGGAATTTTCGCCAAGTTTTTTAAAATGCAAATTTTGGGAGATATAGCCGGAAAGTACCCGGTAATCTTATAGAGAGATTTGGTAAAGCTACAGTTACAATAGCCTAAGCCTTTCCAGAACAAAGCGCTCCTTCGACATCTCGGTGAATCTCACTAGACGCCAGCTTTTCTCAACGATGACCCTCTTTTTGCCATACAGGTTTTTCATAACTTTTTCGAAGTCTCAACAATTTTCAGCTTTTTCCATGCTTTCTCATTTCTCGTCTTCACTTTCATCGCTTTGGCCTACAGAAATATGGCGATCGTCGTGCAA